GCCGGGGTCGACCCCGGGGTGGGCTCGAGCGCCGGCGGCGGCGACTGCTCCATCTCCGCGGGGCCCGGGCCGCGTCCGCCTCGAGCTAACGGTCCCGCCAGCTAGGCGCGCGCGCCGGCCCCGCGCGCCATGTTCCCGCCGTGCCGCGCGCCTCCGCGGCGACCCCCACACCCCCCCACACCCAACACCGCGCACGCGCGCATCGCCGCGCACGCTCCCCGCGCGCCTCCGCGGGTCCCCCCGACCGCGCAAGCGCGCACTCGCCGCGCCCCTCCCCGCGCCCTCCGGAGCCGGCCGCTGTTCCCAGCGTTGCGCCCACCCCCTCTGCAGCCGTCCGGCCGGGCCAGAGAGCTCGCGGTTCTGGGCTGGGCGCCGCCACCTGCCGCACTGCGGACGACGCCGGACCAGACCCTTCGGCACTGCCCCTTTTGCTTCACCTACTTGGGCTTGAGGAGATGGTCCAAGCCAAGAGGGAATTATCCCAAGAAGTCCGGGGGGAAGACGCCGCTAAGGTGATGAGAGCCCCATCGCGAAGGTGTGTGAGCACGTGAGCGAGCCTAAGTAGCACAGTTGATGTCCATGTCCCTGGAAAGCCGGACTCAATGGAGAATCCGAGTTCGAGTCCCGCATCTCCACTCACCTTTGCCTGATTAAGGTCAGGTCTCCAGTAGCCTGTTTCTCCTTAATCTGGAACGTCCAGCAAGTTAGGAGGACTTGAAATAATCCAGATAAAATGTCAACACCGCACCTAGTGCTCACCAAATGGTAATCCGGTGACAAGACCTCTTAAGTAATTTTGTTTTATGGTCAAGAACCAAGGGCCCTTGAAAAGGGAAATTTCGGTTCAAGTCTTGCCTCCGGTTCTTGCAGAGAGCCTTGATCTCTAAATCTGCAAAGGGAGGAGCAGCACAGGGTTGAGGTGAGCTTTCCGATGAGGCACACACCTTTCTGAGCACAATGCCTGGCACACACCAAGCTATCCAAGTTTCAGTGGTATAATTCCAGTTCTATCTTCCAGGACTCCTAAAGTTTAGTGATGGGGGCTCTGATCCCAAACCCTGTGGTATAATTAGCTGGGAGGGGGTTCGCTCAACCTTGGGGCTGGAGGGACTTAGTTCCCACATCTTCACTTTCCATTCTCTGCCCCAAACCTCTCTGGAAACCCTAAAGTTGGCACAAAAACAACAGCAGAGAATGTTTTCACTTGTAAAAAAAAAAAAAAAGAAGAGTGCCTGAGGGTCTCCTGGAGTTTGTAAGTGGTTGAATTTATTAGTCTGGGCTTTTCCAGACACAAGTGACCAAAAATTTTTAAAACAAAAAAATTTTTTTTTAATTTAAAAAACTCAACCTGGAGTAAAACAATTAAGGGAATAATTGAAAAGTCTTGGGTGGTACCTCACTTAAGGCATAGCTGGATCCAGGTGCTCAAACGATAACCTCAGTGTTTCTACAATCTCTCAGCTCCGCTTCCCTCTGTGATGACTTCATTCTCATGCAGTTCTCTCCACATAGTGTCCTGGGCAGCTCCTAACTCACACCTACCATCATGGTAGGGTGAATAATGGCTTCCAAAGATGTTCTCATCCTAATTCCCCAGAATTTATGAATATGTAACTTTACATATTCATAGCAGGAGCTGTTTCCCAGTAGTTCCAGCCAAAGTCTTGGATTTTCTTTCACTGGACCCATTTGGGTCACGTGACCTGCCTGAGCCAATCACAGCAAGATTGGCCAGATCTGACTATATGGAGCCCCTCTAGGAAGGGGGTGGGGTTAACCCTGCCAGAAGGACCTGGGGTTGGGGCAAGTGGGAAGAGGGATTCCCCTCCCCCAGAAAAAATAGGGTTGCAATTACCATAAGAGGCATCAGGTTCAGGACAGACACAAAGTACAGCTGTCTACTGCACCATCATCAAGGCACCGGAGGTCCACCACCAAGCAACATGCCTGTTCTTCAAAAGGGACTGGCAGTTACTTCAGTCACTGGGTGGTACCCCTCCACCTCTGCTCCCACCACCCACCCCAGACCTGGCATTTCCCAAATCTGTTTTGTCAAAGGCATCTCAGTTATCCACCCATCTTGTGTGAACCCAAAAAAGGTAAACAGGTGATGTTACTTCCTTGCTCAAGAACTTTCTATGGCTCCCTCTGGCTATGTATGTGACCCTCCCACCTTTAATGATAGAAGCCAACGCTGACAGATCCCCTACCAGGCACTTTAAATGAAACTTCCACCACTGAATCCTCAGAAATGCCGTATTAAGATGGTCCTCTTATTATACCCAGTTTACAGATAAGGAAATAAAAGCTCAGCAATTAGAAGTAACTTGTCCAAAGCCAAAGGTCAGGAAGTTCAGAGAGCTCAGATTAGCACAATATTGCTCCCACTAATGATGTTGCCATCCCAGCTCCATTTGCTCACATTTCAAAATCCTGTGCCCACCTCCAGCTGGGTGGGCAGTGAGAGGAGCTCTACCAGAGGAGCCTCTAGGGACCCCTTTGTCTTCTATAGCGTGCAGGGTGTGGGGGGGGAGGCAGACACCTAGGTACCATCTTCCCTTCCCTCTATGACTTCAAGGGATAGGGAGAAAGAATTCCCCAAAAAGAAAACCGGAGTATAAGGTTAAGAAGAGGAAGTGGATGCTGGGTGTCCCCATATTGGCAGCTGATGTCTCCCCATTAGTAATGAGTGTATTAGCTTCCTCTGGCTGCTGTAACAAATTACCACAAATTGGGTGGCTTAAAATAACACACATTTTTTTTTTCTTTTAATATATATTTTTTTTAATAACACACATTTATTCTCTTAACTTTTGTAGGTCAGAAGTCTGAAATCAGTTTCACCTGGCTAAAGTCAAGGTGTAAAGTAAAAGGACTGGTTCCTTCAGGAGGCTCCGATGGAAGAATCCATTTCCTTGCTTTTTGTCTGTCAGCTTCTAGTGGCTGCCTGTAGTGGCTTGTGGCCTCTTCCTCTGTTTTGAAAGAGCACCACTCCATCTCTTCTGACTCTGACTCTTCCTGTGTCCCTTTTAAAAGGAACATTGTGATAACACTGGGCCCACCTTGATAAAACAGGATGGTCTTCCCATCTCAAGATCCTTCACTTAATCACACCTGCAAAGTCTCTTTTGCTATGTAAAGTCACGTATTCATAAATTTTGGGGATTAGGATAAGAACATCTTTGGAGGCCATCATTCATCCTACCATGGTAGGTATAATCAGAGAGCTAATACAAAGTGCTCTGGAAACAGAGAAGGGCTCGCTGGCTACCCCAAGAGGGAAAGATGCCCTAAGAAACCGCAGCCTTCACATTAAATATTCAAATGAGCTAAAACCCATCTAACTTGGCAATCTCAGCCTCATTCCTTTAAATAGGCAAACCACCTAAATCCCCATCTAGCCCTCAGCAACAGGCCAGCCAAGCCTCAGAATGCTTGCACACCCTTCTAATTTCCATTGTCAACCACCACCCTCATTGCCTGAGGCAACATCTGTGTGCCCCTCACCCTCCCCTGGCTGGCTCACCAGTGGCATCTGAACCAAGACACTCAACTCATGGCATAGTCAGCAAGCTACAGTGTGGCCTAGCATCAGTCAGCCAAAGTTACAAAAGAAGCAAAATCAGTGGGTCAGAAAGAGACAAGAAGAGCCAGCCATTAGAACTGCCTGGGCTCCTGATGGCTCCCAGGCCCAGCCCTCTGTAAGGTTGAAACAGATCCCCTTTTCCATGAAGTAATTTGAATGGGCCTCTGTTCCTTGTCACCAAGATGTCCCAGCTTCCACAGATCATGGCGTTGTACCCATTCATCATGACTGAACATACTGGCATTCAAGATTTAGAAATCAGTCTCATGTGAGTTTTGTCAGTGTGAGTCAACATCCCTGAGTCTGAATGAATAAGGGACGGAGGAGATGAGGAACATGAATTTGAGTCAGAAAGCCCTGGGTTGGGTCCCAGCTCCGCCACTTCCTAGCTGTGTGACACTGGGTAAGTCACCTTACTCCTTCAGCCTGGGTTCCTCACCTATAACATAAAGGTGATCAGAGGACCTAGCCCATAGAATCACCAGACAAGAACAACCTAGGGAGGCGCTTTACACAGGGCCTCCTTGGTCATCATTGGGTCAACATGACATGCCCACATGCCTTAGTCACATTTCCAAAATCCAAACAGCTCTGAAACTGGGGAGTCCTCCATAACTCTCGTGGCAGAAAAGATGGACCTGAAGTGACATGAAGCTATTTACAGTTTTCTCTATTCCTCTTACTGTGAATATTTGCTGCAGAAATATTAAAGTGTTTGGTTATAGGATTCAGTGGGGTATTACATATAAACACAGTTGATGTGCCTGGTCCTCTTCCTAAAATCAGGAAATTTTTGAATTTCACAACTTATCTGGCTCTGTGGTTTCAGGGATGATGAGGGTGAGAATGGGACTCTAAACTGGCCCGTGGGGGAATTCCCTTGCAGTCCAGTGGTTAGGACTCCACACTTCCACTGCAGGGGGTATGGGTTCGATCCCTAGTCAGGGAACTGAGATCCCGAAAGCCGCATGGCCAAAAAAATAAAAATGAAAAACAAAATTTTAAAAAATTAAAGTAAAAAAAAAAAACTGGCCCATAGTAGATGCACCAAGGTACCGACCGTCTTGTAAGGACTCTGGCCAGTCTCGACAAACCCCACCCTGACTCACTGTGCCCCATCCCCTGCAACTTTAGAATTTGTATGCCACTCACCCAGGGATACATCCCAAGAAACCTGCCTGGTTACAGCCAAGGAAGAGGCACCAGAGGAAAGGCACACAACTTCAAATATGCACACACTAAAGGCGTGTAATTAAGAGCTGATCAACAAGCAAAAGCACAAAGCTCAGGTTCCATTACATTTTGAATTGTGTATCAATGATTGTGGAAAAGCAACTGTTCCCACAATGAAAATACAAGCTATGCAATACAGATTTAAAGAACATGGCAGCTGGGTTCAAGAAAGTACATTTCTTTCATGGTCAACCGGTGTTCACGAGACAGCAGCACAAACAGCCAGGCGCTTTGTGGGGTCGGCATCCTCTGCTTCCCCTTCAAGAAGCCGCTTTTGACTTGTAGAAGGCTGAAAGTAAAGGAAAAGAGAGAGATGTTCAAAGAAAACCTCTGGCTTGGTTACAATTTACCAAAGTTTCCCTATATACTTCCAGTAAACTTGGAGCCTTTCATGTGAAACTCCTAGGACCAAGAATACTGGTTGTCCTCATTGACTCTGAATCCCCACCACACCCCTCCCAAACTCAGACACCCTTATCGGACTGACATTTCTCTCCCTTGGGGCTTCCAACCACTCAATGACGTCTATTCAAAGTAAGAAGCATAACCAGCCTCCTCTTGGTTGTCTTCTAAATTAGGAAATGTAAAGGGACCACAATACCTCTCCCAGGGAGCCTCAAGTCTTGCTCTTTTGTGGGAAGACAATCTTTTTTGTATCTTTGTTTCCCCATTTATAAAATTGCAAGGGAGCAGTAGGAAGAGGAGTGTTACCGAAAGAAGGCAGGACAGGAATGAACAGATATTAACTGATACCTACAAAGAACTTTAGAGGAATAAGATTATAATCAGAAATCATCAACCACTCCCCCAAATTTTAAATTTTTCAGCAAATTTAAATCTGAGCCTCTAATAAGTCTTCCAATCTTGCCTTACAGGAGACTTCCTAAATAACCCCTAGCTGTGTTTCTCTAATGCATTAAACATGGTCTTCATTATTAAATCTTCTAAAGGTGCCAGAGCAGATCAAGCTGAAACAAAGTATCTACTACATTATTCCTTACCAAAAAAATGTTAAGCAATCACTGCTAAAGAGACTATTCAAACTCCTTATCCTCCACTCATTTGACTCTTCAAACTTAGCCTACATTTAATGACCATGATCCAGAATACCTGGGCGGGAACCTGGGGCAGAGTCATCGACTTTTCTTCTTCAAAAAGCAAATTCTTAAATTTTCTCTTCATGTCCTCATCCTGTGAAGAAATGAAAAACATAAGTAGGCTGTGAATGAGGGAAAGAAAGCTCCTGAAAGGCAGGGCTAGGATGCCCCTGGAAACAGGGAAGTAGGCTAAGATGGGGATGAATGTAGAGAAAAGGGAAAAGTCTAATCAGCAGTCGGTGCTCAGTCAACACTGGCTGAACCAAACCCATACGCTGAGCTCCGGGTGAATGTCTACTACTAGTAGACTGACTAAAACATAATGAGCAACTGTCACCTTTCCATTATATAACTATGTAACAAAAGGATTGGTTGACTAAAATATACTTACGGAATTACATAATTTCATCTGTGAAAACAAGGGAGCAAAGAAATAGTTGCTTATCCAAACCTGTCATATAAATTTATTTTCATTATATGATCCTTGAAACTCTGTGGTAGAAAATGCATTACACTATGTCGCAAAGCCCCATCAAACTATTTCAAATGGTTTCAAGTGTTTTGACTAGTGTTAAGGTAGGAGAGAATTATTAAGGACTTGGTAAACCGAAAGGTGATATACAAATAATAAAAATAGAAGTAATTATTATCAATAGAATATAGCTGAAATATGATAAAATCTTCTGAAAGAGCATTTTCTTGGTTTTCACTATATTTTAATTTCATTAGCAAATAAATTTTATTTTGCAAAAAACAAAACAAAACAAACAAAACTCCAGGTGGGTCAGAGAGAACCATAGACCTTAGCAGTCAATCTTTCAGAGCCAGCATCCCAGATCCTGAGAGATGGCGATCAGGAGGTCAAAGGCTGGGGTTGGCTCCATGCTGCTCCCCAGATCTTTCCAGGAGGTCCCCCCTCCCACTGCCAACAATGAGACCAGTTACCAGGGCCACCCTAACAAAGCAACCCTGCACCCAAGGAAAATTCACGCAGCAAGCACTGCACAAGTTGCCAGAAGGACTTCAAGCCCACAATATCCCAGAGCTAATGAGAAAAAAAAGTGAACAGGTGTTTCTTGCTGCTGGAGAGGGAAATGAGGGGTGGGGCAGGGTACACAGAAAACTCCTGCCCACCTCCATGAATAATCACTTCTGCAGGGCTCACTTCTGCATCTGGGAGCCCTGAGAGGTGACAGCCCTCCCTACCTTCAGAAAGGTGAAACACCCAGGACTAGGACTTGGGCTTTGGGGCCAGCTGAAAGCTGAGCTCAGCCACTCACAAGTAGCATGTGCAGAATACAGACCCAGAGCAGCCCACTTCCAAATCCTCATGTACTTTTCCATCCAACCCCCGCTCCACTCCTCCCACTACGCCAAGTGCACCATGGTGGGTGCGGAGAAAGGACCTAGGAGTGAAGGCCTTCAATATTCAGCAATTTGATGGATATAGAAAAATTAGTGCTCGAGGATGAATTCACCTGTTCTACATCTAGTAGCTAGAATCACCTGCTTCCATCACTGTTTATTGCATCATTCAGTGTAGCTCCCCACTGCCCAAGTGCCAAGTTCATCTGGATTCCACTCCACACTGTCCTCTAGGATCTCACTTCTCAGCAAGGCCACTCTCAAAGGTCCATTCCTTATTTCCTCCTACACCTGCTTACAGCCTCCGCCAGAAATGCCCTCTGTGCCTCCCTGCCCACCCACCTCCCTCATTCATTCAGTGAACAGTTGAGGACGCTTAGATGCCAGGCACTGTAATAAGCACAGGGGCCTCCATATCAGAGGGACCCAACCAATGTTGAAAATGCTATTCCCCCGTCGCTGTGGCAACTGAATTGTGATTGTCATGGCTGAACTGTGTGAGTTATGACTGAATTGTGCCCCCCCAGACCCCATTTATATGTTGAAGCCCAACCCCCAGAATTGTGACTGTATTTGGAGACAGGGCCTTCAAACAGGTAATTAAGTTAAAATGAGGCTCTTAGCTTAAATATAAGACATGACACCATAAAACTCCTAGAAGAGAATATAGGCAAAACATTCTGACATAAATCGTACCATTGTTTTCTTAGGTCAGCCTCCCAAGGCAATAGAAATAAAAGCAAAAGTAAACAAATGGGACCTTATCAAACTTACAAGCTTTTGTACAGCAAAGGTTTTGTTTGTAGTTACAAACAAAACCAAAGGACAGCCTACAGATTGGGAGAAAATATTTGCAAATGATTCGAGCAACAAGGGCTTAATTTCCAAAATACATAAACAGCTCATACAGCTCAATAACAAAAAAAATCAAACAACCCAATCAAAAAATGGGCAGAAGACCTAAACAGACATTTCTCCAAAGAAGACATACAGATGGCCAACAGGCACCTGAAAAGATGCTCAACATCGCTAATTACTAGAGGGATGCAAATCAAAATTACAATGAGGTGCCACTTCACACTGGTCAAAATGGCCATCGTTAAAAAGTCTACAAATTAAAAATGCTGGAGAGGATTTGGAGAAAAGGGAACCCTCCTACACTGTTGGTAGGAATGTAAATTGGTGCAGCCACTATGGAAAAACAGTATGCAGGTTCCTCAAAAAACTAAAAATAGTTGCCATATGATCCAGCAATCCCACTCCTGGGCATATATCTGGACAAAACTATAATTCAGGGGCTTCCCTGGTGGTGCAGTGGTTGAGAGTCTGCCTGCCGATGCAGGGGACATGGGTTCGTGCCCCGGTCCAGGAAGGTCCCACATGCCGCGGAGCGGCTGGGCCCGTGAGCCATGGCCGCTGAGCCTGCGCGTCCGGAGCTTGTGCTCCGCAACGGGAGAGGCCACAACAGTGAGAGGCCCAAGTACAGCAAAAAAAAAAAAAAAACTATAATTCAAAAAGACACATGCACTCGTATATTCATAGCAGCACTATTTACAATAGCCAAACAACCTAAATGTCCATCGACAGATGAATGGATAAAGATGTGGTGCATACATACAATGGAATACTACTCAGCCATAAAAAAGAATGAAATAATGCCATTTGCAGCAACGTGGATGGACCTAGAGATTATAATATGATATCACTTATATGTGGAATCTAAAATATAACACAAATCAACTTATCTATGAAACAGAAACAGACTCACAGACATGAAGAACAGACTCGTGGTTGCCAAGGGGGAGTAGGGGTGGGAGAGGGATGGACTGGGAATTTGGGATTAGCAGATGCAAACTATTATATGGAGAATGGATAAACAACAAGGTTCTACTGTATAGCACAGGGAACCATATTCAATATCCTGTGATAAACCATAATGGAAAATAATATGAAAAAGAATGTATACATACATATAACTGAATCACTTTGTTGTACAGCAGAAATGAACACATTTTTTTAAATATAAATTTATTTATTTATTTACTTTTGGCTGCATTGGGTCTTTGTTGCTGTGCACGGGCTTTCTCTAGTTGCAGCGACCAGGAGCTACTCTTCGTTGTGGTGGGTGGGCTTCTCATTGCGGTGGCTTCTGACGGAGCACGGGCTCTAGGCGCACGGGCTTCAGCAGTTGTGGCTCACGGGCTCAGTAGTTGTGGCTCACAGGCTCTAGAGCGCAGGCTCAGTAGTTGTGGTGCACAGGCTTAGTTGCTCCGTGGCATGTGGGATCTTCCCGGACCAGGGCTCGAACCCATGTCCCCTGCATTGGCAGGTGGATTCTTAACCACTGTGCCACCAGGGAAGCCCAACACAACATTGTAAATCAACCATACTTAAATATAATAAATTTTTTGTTTAAATTGGGCTCTTAGGGTGGGGCCTTAATCCATTATAGCTGATGTTCTCATAAGAAAAGAAGAAGACACCAGGGATGTAAGCAAACAGAGAAAAGACCAAGTGAAGACACACAGAGAAGGCAGCCACCTGAAGGGCAATGAAAGAGGCCTCAGGAGAAACCAAACCTGCTGGCACTTTGAAATTGGACTTCCAGCCTCCAGAATTGTGAGAAAATAAATTTCTATTGTTTAAACCACCCAGTCAGTGGTACTCTGTTATGGCAGCCTGAGCAAAGTAATACTGCTATGTCATCCCCAGGCCACCCTGCCCTTAGACAGTCTCCACACCGTGTGAACTTGTGGGTACCAGAAGCCCTGTGGGCAGTCCTCATCCTGGGGATCCTCCATACTCTGTGCCTACCCCTATTACCACATGTAGCTCACTGCTCTGTAGTCAGGGTTGGCTGCCACCTGGACTGTGTATCCACAGTGCCTAACAGTGCTTGACACATGAGCTCCTTACCTGTCCTCTGAAAGCATGAATGAATGCATGAAGAGATGAAACCATGCAGCCAAACAGAAATGACCACAAGCCTATTTAAGCCTGTATTTAAAAGAAGTCATCAGTTGGGAATTCCCTGGCAGTCAAGTGGTTAGGACTCAGTGCTTTCACTGCTGGGGCCCGCATTCAGTACCTGGTTGGAGAACTAAGTTCCCACAAGCCATGGCACAGCCAGAAATGAAAATAAAAAGAGTCATCGGTAAGCAGTAATCTGAAAAAGGATATCATTACATACCACAGATAGAATGTGTATCTGTAAATACCCTTCCTTTGAGATGTCTACAATCTATTCAAAAATGTGACATTGTAATATACCTCCAAGTTAAGCAGGAAAAAATCCTCTATTTCAAGAAGTAAACATGGACTTCCATGGTGGCGGAGTGGTTAGGAATCCGCCTGCCAGTGCAGGGGACATGGGTGCATGCCCTTGTCCGGGAAGATCCCACATGCCGCGGAGCAACTAAGCCCGTGCACCACAGCTACTAAGCCTGCACTCTAGAGCCCGCGAGCCACAACTACTGAGCCCGCATGCCACAACTACTGAAGCCCGCGTGCCTAGAGCCCGGGCTCCGCAACAAGAGAAGCCACTGCAATGAGAAGCCCTCGCACCGCAATGAAGAGTAGCCCCCTCTCGCCGCAGCTAGAGAAAACCCACGCACAGCAACAAAGACTCAACGCAGCCAAAAATTAATTAATTAATTAATTAAAAAAAAAAAAAAGAAGTGAACATGAGGTCAAAGGTGGGTATAAGGGATGCGCCCAAAATTGGACACTGTTAATAACAAAAAAGAGATCAGAATTCACATTCCAAACACTCAGTCCAGTGCCAGACCCATAAAACCATTTAGTTTCCTCAAAAACACTGAATTTTCCCAAAATGAAACCTAAACTGTCACCAGCAGGTGATTTTTGTGGGCACTTGGCATCCTCGTCCTCACTGAATGTTCACTCCGCCTTCTGCTGCAAAAATAAAATGTGGACAAAAGAGTATTCAAGTGAGACCCCTGTGGCAGGGTTGAATTTCACCTTTTCCTTAGTTGTTAACAATTTTGAGACAAAAAGTACAAGAAAAATAGGCTATGCTTGTTTGTACATTTTGGGCAGATGTAAACCTTGTTCCCAGGCCTAACTGGCAAGCTCTGTTTTCTTCAAGATTAACACAGCTCCTCTACCTCCATATCTGGCCCCCAAGAGTTTCCCTATTAAGGCACATGAAAAGAGCCAAGAGGAATGTTTTCTTTTTCATCAAAATTAAGTCCCCACATGCAAAGGCACCCTTTATTTCCAAATTCCTTTTCTCTAGGGTCCTGCAGTTTCAAATCTGTGTGGTCTATTAAGTGCTAAATCATCTGACAGATTTTTTTCTGGAGGGACTGCTGTTTCCAGGGCAACATCCCAAACACATATATCTATTTTTTGTTTCTTGTAAGGATTTCTCGTTCTCAACCTGAGCTGGCCTGAGCAGAACTGTTTGGTGTGGAGGGCTGGAAGAGAAAGAACGAGGACACTCCTCCCAGAGCTCCAGAAGTACAGTACTGAGACTAGATGGCCCAAGGAGTTCCTGGACTAGAAATTCCCACAGTATGTGAGCCTCCAGCTCAAACAACCTGGTTAAGTCCCCCATCCCCACAGGAAACAGAGACCAAATGAAAGTTAACAGAAAGGCATATGGCTGTGCTAAAAGGAACTCCACTTAACAGAAGACCTGGCATCCATCAAAAAGCCTGCCCGAGGCCATAGTGAATTCTAAAACCAAAGACTAGCCCACCAAAGCCACTAAGGACTTCCAACCCTGGCAGCTCGAATGAGATCAGTACGTAATCTAATGGCAGTCACAACCCCCAGCAGGGACACAGAGGAAATGCAGACTTGAAAGGCACAGGTGACAATCTGCTAACGGCATGCTGACTCACCATGAACGAGAAGTGGGACCCCTCATGCCCGATCACTTGGGCTTCAGAAATAGCCAGATTCTACCCCAGCGAGGCTGCTCCCCTCCTCCCACCCCTGCTTCCCTGATCTAAGGTTGAAGATGGCTGGAACGCAGCCCATCCCGCCCGTCTGGGGTACGGTGTTTGAGAGAAGAGAAGGACATAGCTAGGGTGGAAATTTGGAGCTAGAACAATCTCTCAAAGGAGCACAATGGAACACAACTGAACCGCAGACTCAGGGAAGCCAAGTGGAACCAGGACAGGCCATAAAGTGAGCTTGTCTATCCAAGTCAAGTTGTAAAGGTTGCACACAAACACGAGACACACCCACGCTCAGACCCATAGACAAACATACATATACCGACACACCTAAACCTCAGTCTTTAAAAATTGCATTAAACAGACCCAACAAAGCAAACGTATGTTTTCATCCTCTTCCCCATCTCTCAGGCACCGTTCAGGGCTGCCCGGGTATTTTAGGCTGGCAGGCACTGCCCCATACACACCTGAAGCCACGGGTGTCTTAAAGCTTCTTCTGTCGTAAAACGTGCCTTTGGATCAACTATCAACAACTTCTTGACGAGGTCCAGAGCTAAAGCAGTAAGATAATTTGGCAAATCACAGTGAGAAGGATAAAGGCATTAAATCAACAAAATTAGAGTGTGCCAGAATCACAGGCCAACATCCAGAAAGAGGAGAGAAGGGCTGAGGTCATTGTGATCAGTAGGCACGGCCCCCTAATCCTCCCCACTCTGTATTTGTCCACGTGCTCTAGAACACCAGGAACGACCATGATGCTCCCCAACACTCCCTGCTCAGACATCACAACCTCTTAGCTCTCCGTCCCTACTCTCCTTGCTGGACTCAAGTTCAAACTAATTAAAGATGAACTTCCCCCAGTTCTAAAACTCAGGATGTTCAGCCAACTCTCTCCAAGACCCACAGAGTGATGGTGAGAGCTCCTCGGCCAGCGAGAGCTCGCTCCTTGAAATCCCAGGCTTGGCAGAAACAAAACTTGACAGCCAGCAACAAGTGGAGGCTGGTTGTATATTGCAATATTATTCCTTAGACACTGTGACACTTAGCACAATCATCTGTGGTACACAGTTTTAGTTTTCTACTTTTTCTTTAGAGAATTACAAAGTTACCTTTTTAAATTCTAAAATACAAAGTAATTACATTTAGCTCTTGCTGTGCTTACTAATTCAAAGGAGACCTTGTAACTAAAAAGTTACCCATTATTTTGCACACTTAAATAGATACCAGGCACAGTGAGCATATTACACTTAACCCTCACAAAACCCCTTAAGGTAGGGGTTTATTGTGCCCCTTTTACAAATAAATGAAATGGAGACCCAGAGATGTTAAATAACTTGCCTAAGGTCACAGAGCTAGGAAGTAGCAGACCCGGGACACGAGCCTACATCAGCCTGGCTCTGGAGCCCAAGTTCCTAATAATTTCCTTTTCCTCTCAAATGGTGCAAAACTAACAACAGAAAATAAGAACAGGATTGACAGGAGAAAACATCACAGAATTTGAAAAGAAATTCCCACCACCGCACACACACATTCTAGCAAACCACAAGTTCTTAACCCTTTCATATCCATACCCTTCTCTGAGACCTCTGACCAGACTTCAGGAATGAAGTTGCATTTTCCACTGGTGATCTGATCCTTCAGTGACACGTGAGTCTTATGCTCAGAGAAAGGTGGATACCCACTAAGGCTTAATATTGGTAGAGAGAGAAAGGAAAAGAAATCAAGTGGCATTCTCAGTGGCATTCATGGATACATCGATTTCTTTTTCAGCATCATGAAAAATTAGGTGTTGCTTTAAATTGATGGTCAAAATAAGTGACCTAAATTAAACACAAGCTCTCGACCTGGACACATTGCTGATTTCACCTAAATACCTCCAACCAGAGTCTGAAGAGATAAAAACTTTTTCTTACCAAATGAAAAGAATAACTCCTAAACTCCAGCAGTCCACAGCACGGTTATATCCAGCAGTCCCAAAAGAATTAAGAACCTCAGGAGCGAGGTAAGTGGGGGTACCACATAAGGTTCTCATCAGAGAGGTCTCCCCCAAAATCTTGGACTGCCCAAAATCAGTAATCTAAAGTAAGGACAAAAGGGAATCACTTTTAATGACATCATAAAATAAAGAGTAACATAGTCTGCCAGTCCCAAAAGACATGCAGATTAGAACAGTTCCTATCCTACGGTTCGTGCTGCCATTAATCTGGAATCTACACATTGATGTTTTGGTAAGGTAATTTTAAACTCTGCAAGTTATTTAATTTTGCTTAAATGAAAATTCCTGAGCCAAGGTACTTAAAGGCCCAGGTTTTCTCAACTTAGATCTGGGTTTTCTGTAACCTTACGAAAGGCTTATAACCGTAAACAGACACTCTAGAATTCTAATTAGTTATTCCTGGTTCTCCTTTAGACCCCGGTTTCTCAACCTTGGCTGCAAACTGGAATACCCGAGGAGCCTGAAGAAAATATTTACACCTGGGTGCCACCTACAGTGATTCTGAGGCGTAGGCTTGGTGTCACGGTTTGTTTGGGTTTTTTTTTTGCGGTACGTGGGCCTCTCACTGTTGTGGCCTCTCCCGTTGCGGAGAACAGGCTCCAGACGCGCAGGCTCAGCGGCCATGGCTCACGGGCCCAGCCGCTCCGCGGCATGTGGGATCTTCCTGGACCGGGGCACAAACCCATGTCCCCTGCATTGGCAGGCGGACTCTCAACCACTGCGCCAGCAGGGAAGCCCTGTTTGGTTTTTTTTTTTAAATCAACAGAGGAATCTAAAATGAAGCCAGTATTGGGAAGTGCTGTTTTAAACAGGGGAAGACAGGGGATGTGTTTCTCCCATCTAGACCCCTACTTCCTCCCTCTGAAGATGAAAGTGGCTTATACACAATGGAGCTCAATAAATGCTCATTACATCTGGATTGGAGCAATACCATCTGATCTCTAAAAGAATTGCTAAAAGTGGGAAGGTCAAGTTCTCTACCTTTTTATGCTCCTACTTTTTACTTGATGAATTTAAAAACAGTTTCTGAACAGAAATCTACTGGCCACATATAAAACATACATTTCTTACCTTTATAAGGCAGTCCTCTTTTTGAGATGAGAGTAGAACATTCTCTGGCTTTAAGTCCCGATGTATAATGCCATTTTCGTGAAGGTACTGCATAGAAAGACAGGCATGACCCTTAGATATATCGAGTAGTATGTGAGGAGAGAGAGAGAGAGAGAGAGAGAGAGAGAGAGAGAGAGAGAGACACACACACACACACATTTTACAGCTGGATGAAACTGTAAGCCATGTTACTCACAACCATATTCCCCCAAATCATAGAAAACCACTGGATAAATGGATTAGTGTTTACAAATTTGTTTGTAAGAAACTCTTTAAAAAAGTAGAAAAATGGGGCTTCCCTGGTGGCGCAGTGGTTGAGAATCTGCCTGCCGATGCAGGGGGCGCGGGTTCGTGCCCCGGTCCAGGAAGATCCCACATGCTGCAGAGCGGCTAGGCCCGTGAGCCATGGCCGCTGAGCCTGCGCATCCGGAGCCTGTGCTCCGCAATGGGAGAGGCCACAACAGTGAAAGGCCCGCATACCGCAAAAAAAAAAAGTAGAAAAATGAAAAAGGCAACTTATGACAGTAGACATTTTACTTCACTCTTCAAAATAATAACTATCCCTTCATATTGGCAGAAACAGAAGATGTCAATTTCAATAATAAAAATGTAAATGGATGATATAAACTATTATGAGACCATCTTAAACTATAAAAATTCCACCAAAATAGTACATTTGGTTATTCCATCCCTGAGAATATTTTTAAAGGGACTCTGTAAAGTACACATGTGTAGATTATCTGTTTGAACACCCAGAGTTAACATATTCCTTGATGCAAAGATTAGTCTTTGAAAACTATGGCTGAAATAGAATGGTGATATTTCTTTGTGTATTCATTTTTATATACTAAGTCATATTTCTTTAGGAAAAAAAAGTTTCCCACATCCACTGATCTGCACTCAATTCATCTTAATATTCTTGGTATAATATAAGGTTGGGAACAAACCATTAAGAGAGTAAAGCACTGGTTAGGTATTTATGGGCTTCAATTTTCTCTGGATATCCCTCTGGCCTAGAGGAAAAATCCTCCAAGACACCTCCACTCATCTGGTGAAGCCCCCAGGGTGGGCACCCAGGTAGACCAGCCCCTGGAAAATCTTCCTCAATCCTCACCCAATGCAAGAGCTGCTCCCAATCACTGCGTCTCTTGCACACAGTAGGTTCTCAAGGGAAGAGGCCTTGGCAGGGAATCGCCACAACCAAATCTGGGTTGAGAAAGGGTGATGTTCTCTGAAGCATGCAGGGTGCCATCAGCTGTTCCTCCACCCAACATTTGCCCCGAATATTGAAGAGAAGGCAGAGCATGTCCTGCCCGCGTGCCTGCTACAGTTAACAAGATACTACATGTGTAAGAAACCCCTAGCACTGTGCCACGGGGGTGTGATCTGTCCTCATACCTGCCCAGCTCCCCCCTTGAGAGGTAAGGGGGATTTTTGCAGGGATCAGGCAGCAGTAGAGATCCCTTCCCCTCCAGGAATACCTCCAAGCTAAAGAGAGGCCATGTGGGAATGTGTTTATTTCTTTAACTTCGTTTTTTTTTACTCTCTTAAGCCTCACAGCAAGAGCTTTCTCATCTGAGTCAAAGGGGTGGGATGTTTTTGCCAAGAATGGAACAACCCACACACACACTCTGTTCTCTGGGTTTTTATCCCTGGTCCCTCATCTTCTGCCTAACTGGGAGAGTAACACTTAAAAGAAAGTACACTCTCAAAAGCAGCAAGGGCTTCTCTTACCTGCACAGCCAGGAGCATCTGGTAAAAATAGAGTTTGCATGTAGCTTCTTTCAGGCGCTTATTTCCCACCACCCTATCAAACAGCTCTCCTCCTTCCATCCTGAAACACACAGGCAAAGCAGGGGGTTCATTCCTGGAGGGAAACTCACTTGGAAGGAAGAGAATAACACAAACAAAGCAAACTCATTAAGACAAGCAAAGTGTTCATTCACTCGACTCCCATTTGTAAAAGCAGTAAGGTAATAAGCCTCCTCCACAACAAAGATGTGCCCATTGGAAACTAAGGAACAAGGAAAGATGGAGGAAGAGCATGGTGGGAATTGCAGACGCTTGGGGAGCTTTTAAAAAATCTGATGCAGTAGATCAGAGGTGGGACCCAGGAGTCTGCATTTTTATTGTGCACCCCAGGTGGTTCTGAGATTGGTGTATAGGAGAAAGCAGGAACCTACAATCAACTGGGGTGTGAAGCCCAGCTCTACCACTTCCCAGCTGTGGGACTTTGGGCAAGTTACACAACCTCTCTGAGCTTGTTTCTATCTCCTCAAAAAATGGGGATAAAATCCCACCTACCTTGATGGCTGTTGTAAAAATTAAGAGATAACTGATGTAGGTAAAGCACCTGGCACAGTGGAGATGCTTGGCAAGATTATTCAATCCCTCTGCAATTCAGTTCTCATTTCTGTAAAGTGGACCCAAAAACAGTAACTCACCAATAACTTGTAAGTAATCTGGATGACAGGAAAGTTAAATGAGTCAATCCCTGTGACGTGCTTAGAGCAGGACTTGGCTCATATTAAGTGCTTAATTAGTATCAGTTACTGTTATTCTATTACTATTACTATTATTATTAAAATGTTTTAACTAGATCCAGTCAAATAACAATCTCCTATTTCATAGCAACAGATATTCCCTTAAGTACAAGGGCTGTCCAGTCTCTCCTAGTGCTATGAGTGGGGCTGCTATTTACTCTATAATCTTAATGGTCAGCCAGCATAGCCACTGTTTCCCGCTCAGGAGTAAAGCCTTGTCTCTCTGCCATGACAGCCACTCCCAGAAACACTGCACATTTATGCAGAACGAACATCAAAACAGGTCTCTCCAGGAATGAGACAGGAAATTATTTTAATCACACCAAATAAACCTGCAAGAAAACCAGCACCTGAAAGATACTCAGGTGTCACCATGCAACCTGGTACTATGATCCCAAGCAGCAAGGGCCACCCAGGCCAGTTATTTCAGAGTAATAATATGTACCTGTGTTCGAGCACCTAGTGTGCCAGGTGCTCTGCTGGGGGATTTCCAGCCCTCACAGCATTTGAACCTTATGCATCTGTGCCTGGGGTTATCATTATTACCCCAATTTAACAAAGGGAATATGAGACTCAGAGAGGTGAAGTAAACTAACCCATGGGTAGACAGTCAGTCACCAGCAGAGTAAGATTCAAACACAAGCCTCAGATCCACATGCCTTTGGACACACTAGAGGGATTTCAGAATTGATACTAACCCCCCACCACATACATACACTGAGGGTCCCCAGGATGGATAAATGCAAGCCACCATTAGGCTCTTTGGTGGCTTATAAACGTTTAAATGGAAACAAAAAAAAGTTTACTACTCACAATTCCAAAACAATATAATAATCTTCGGCATCAAAAAAGTCTTTAATCTTGATGATACAAGGCTAAAAGGGGAAAAAAGAGGAAAAGTAGTGAGAAGCTCCCCAAGAGGAAAACCCCAAGAGCAGAACTCAGGACATCCACCCAAGGGGTCAAGGAGGCCCAGACCAGGCCTCTGGCCCCCTGCCTCGGTACACTTTGAATTCCACGCACAGGGGAAGGCAGAACACAGCACAGCTGGCTCCTGAGTGAGAAAATACAAGAAACTCTCCACCCCACCAAGCTGGTAAGAGAGCAGTTCACGCTTTGTATACAAGGCTGGTGCCAAGGAAGGGAGGCCAGTCTCCTCCCAGCCTTCCTCCTCACTGACCCCCAAGCACAAGGACTCGAGGACACCTAAGGAACCTGGGAGCCTAGCAGGTAGCATGAATAAAGGGAGCAGGCTAGGTGGGGAGCCCAGCCATCCTGCCAGACAGCAGGGCTATACAGCTCCAAGCAACTGGCACCACAGGGCACCCCATGTGAAAAGATCCTCCATTTTCCAAGAGAAGAGGGAAATTCCAGTTTCATTCGAACTCTACAGCACATCTGTGGGGTGGAGGAGAGAGACACACACACACATCTTTGGCTCATAGTTTGTGACCTCTGATCAATGCTGGGTGCATTTGCTGAAGAACAACAGAGACTAGTATTGTACAGTTTAAAATGCATATTTAATAGAATGATTTTATACTTGGAAAGCACACCTATTGTTTTCATAGTACAAATGACTGACAGTAAAGCTAGTGGTCGGGGTAGAAAAATGATGTGGTGAGTATCTATTAGGGACATACACTCCCACCCAGCAGAGAAGAGGGTTGTGGTTATGTCTGAATTAAAGGGAAGGGCTTCCCTGGTGGCGCAATAGTTAAGAATCCACCTTCTCATGCAGGGGACATGGATTCAAGCCCTGGTCCGGGAAGATCCCACATGCCGTGGAGCAACTAAGCCCGTGTGCCACAACTGCTGAGCCTGCGCTCTAGAGCCCACGTGCCACGACTCCTGAAGCCCATGTGCCTAGAGCCCGTGCTCCGCAACAAAAGAAGCCACCGCAATGAGAAGCCCGCGCACCGCAACAAAGAGTAGCCCCCACTCGCCACAACTAGAGAAAGCCCACGCGCAGCAACAAAGACCCAACGTGGCCAAAAGTAAATAAATAAATTTATAAAAAAAAAAAAGGATTAAAGAGAAGAGAGCTGTAAGATTTTTACTTATTTATTTATTTATTTTTGGTCACAACCTACAGCATGTGGGATCTTAGTTCCCCAACCAGGGATCAAACCCGTGCCCCCCGCATTGGCAGCACAGAGTCTTAACCACTGGACCGCCAGGCAAGTCCCATAAGATTTTTAGATTTTAGATTAAAAAGAATAGCAAAACCTGCCAGAGTGATCTTGCTACAAAGCAAATTTCATCACTTTCATCGCTGATTAAAATCCTCCAAGTAGGGACTTCCCTGGTGGTCCAGTGGTAAAGAATCTACCTTACAATGGCAGGGGACACAGGTTCGATCCCTGGTAGGGGAACTAAGATCCCACATACTGTGGGGCAACTAAGCCCGCACGTCCCAACTACTGAGCTCAAGCACCTCAACTAGAGAGCCTGCGTGCCGCAAACTAGAGCCCATGCGCCGGAATGAAACATCCCGCACACCTCAGCGAAGATCCCACGTGCCACAACTGAGACCTGATGCAGCCAAACATAAATTAAATAAATAAATAATAAATAAATCTTAAAGAAAAAAATCCTCCAAGTGGTATCTCCCCATGATGAACTGTTAGACAGTGGTGAATGAATGCCCCACAGCCTCCCCAGCACAATGGATCTTGGAAATACAATGCCGAGTGGAAAAGGCAAGTCTCGACAGACATCAAAGAGTATGAGGTAAATTTAATTGTATGGGCAAAGTTTTTGTTGTTAAATTAATGGTGAGTTCAAAGGTGTTCACTTTATTGGTTTGCTTTATAATTTACACTTATTTTACACATGTCAAATATTATATAATTTTAAATTACTTAAAGGAAGAAAGAGAGAAGAGTGAGGAGGAGGAAAGGAAGGGAGGAAGACAAGAAAAAAGAAATCCTTTAGCACCTTGCTGCCTAGAGGCTAAATTCCAACTTCTCAGCAGGGATTAGCAAGCCCTTCAAGACCCAGCCTCGTCCTGTCCCCACCCACCACCCCAGCCTCATCTCCTGCGACCTGTCCCAGAAATCCTCCTTTCCAGGCCACAAAACTCCCGGCCCACCTCAGATTCTCTCCCTGTGTCACACTTTTGCTCACACTACCCTCTAGGCCTGGTGACCCAGCCTTCTGGAACACGTGGCCTCAGGCATCAAGCCCCATCTCAAATGTCCCCCTTGGAATTGAGATCCACACTTCCTGCAGTGGCTCTAATCCGTGTTGCCCCACGAGGAAACTGACACCCACCACAAGTCTCCTTTCACTGCATGGGCTGAGTCAAGTCTTACTTACCTTTCTGAGACCAACACTCAGCAGAGCAGCTGGCACACAGGAGACACCCATATGCTGCCCAGATTAATACCATCAACATCAATAACAGACACACCACCCACTGAGCGTGAGCCCTGCCAGCCACGTTTTGGTCATGGAATAAACAGCCATGGGGTCAGGCTGAGAGCAAACCATTTCCACCTCTCCTTACCTATGATCATATCATAGTATACTTGGCTCTGCATGACCATTTGTTATTGTCACAATAATGGAAACACTGAATATGCACTGTAGTATTACATTAAGAGGAACAGAAAGGAAAGGAGAGCTGAAATTCTCATATAACAGGAAGGCAATGAGCTATTATCATTAATAAACCAAGAGAGAGCAGTTTATGTGTATTATGTAGAAATACAGAGGTAAATTATTTAAAAATCACCCCGATGTTCACTGCAGCACTATTTACAATACCCAGGACATGGAAGCAACCTAAATGTCCACCAACAGAGGAATGGATAAAGAAGATGTGGTACATATATATACAATGGAATATTACCCAGCCATAAAAAGGAATGAAATAGTGCCATTTGCAGAGATGTGGATGGACCTAGAGACTGTCATACAGAGTGAAGAAAGTCAGAAAGAGAAAAATAAATATCGTATAATATTGCTTATATGTGAAATCTAGAGAAATGGTACAGGTGAACTTATTTGCAAAGCAGAAATAGACTCACAGATGTAGAGAACAAACTTATGGTTAGCAAGGCGGGACGGGGAGGATGGGATGAATTGGGACTGACATACATACACTATTATGTATGACATAACTAATGAGAACCTACTATAGAGCACAGGGAACTCTACTTAATGCTCTGTGGTGACCTAAACGGAAAGGAAATCTAAAAAAGAGTGGATATATATACGTATAACTGATTCACTTTGCTGCACAGCAGAAACTAACATAACATTATAAAGCAACTATACTCCAAAAAAAATTAATTTTTAAAAAATTCTTAAAAAAAAAAAAGCTGAGGGCTTCCCTGGTGGCTCAGTGGTTGAGAGTCCGCCTGCCGATGCGGGGGACACAGGTTCGTGGCCCGGTCTGGGAGGATCCCACATGCCACGGAGCAGCTGGGTCCGTGAGCCATGGCCGCTAAGCCTGAGTGTCTGGGGCCTGTGCTCCGCAACGGGAGAGGCCATAACAGTGACAGGCCCGTGTACCGCTAAAAAAAAAAAATGCTGTAAGAGTTTTAAAATGCAGGGAGGGAGATGCATGTGATATTTTGATAAAATGAAAAGCAGAAGAAAAGACACACACATGGAAAAGGAATAGGAGATGAGAGGAAGGAATGGAAACTGCTTGGTCTGCTTGGCTTCATCACTGGCAGTGCCCTTCTGGGAATGGGTGGGGCTGGGAGCTGACAGAGCAAGAACAGGCCCCCACTAGATGGAGCCATCATGGGCTGTCTCCAGTCCCCACTATCTCCAGGGCCATGGGCTGCAGCTGTCATAGCTGAAAGTGTCTCTCAGAAACCAGAAGCCACCAACCCAGACCCTCCACTTAGGTCCTACAGGGCAAAGGGTAGGGAATTACTGATCACTGTCATTCCCCTAGTGTGTTCCCTGTGCTGAACCTTTATGAACACATCTCATTCAAGTCTCACACTGACCTTTGAGGTAAGTATCCTACTGTCTCCACTGTACAGATGAGGGAATAGAGGCTCTGCAAAGTGAAATGACATGCTCAGAGCAAGGATGGGAACCCAGGTCTGTCTTCCCACTACACTGAAGCCACATAAGAGGAGGGATGACCAAGTCCATCTGTGCTCACTGCCCGGAGCCTAGAAAACAGGCTGGCACAACAAACATTTGACAATTGATAAATCAACACCGGACTCCAAAGGCCAGGGTCTATTGGACTCTGCTAGGCTCTACTCATTGTCCCCAAACATCAAAACATACTCATGAGCCCATCTTTGTCCCCAAAGATGTCCCCAAACATCAAAATGCACTCATGAGCCCATCTTTAATTCCCAAGGGCTTTCAAGTGCCCCTGTAAATTGCCAACAAATACCTCCAAAGATCTCTTTTAGGGTTTTAAATTCCTCTCCTCTGAAGCGGACATTGGATTTGTATAAATGTTACGTTTGGGGATCTTCTGACATCAGAGAAAATTCTCTGAGGATTCTAAGTGTTTATCTTTGGGGGATGTTTGAAGCAACACCACCCCAGAAAATTAGAGGGCTCCTCTCTTTAACAAGATTCCAGATCCCATGGAAAAAGGAGGTGAATGCAGGGAAGAGGAAGAAGTTGCAAGGGCATTAGAAGAAAGTCAAGCAGGAAGGTCAGCCACTCACATTCTTATGGGTTTTCGGATCCATCACGAGTTCTAAAGGAAGCTATTGAATTACTGTGTCCCTGTGATGTTGTTCTTAGTTTCTATTTGCTGTTAGGACGGTCTGAGCAGGTCAGAGAAGGGAGAAGAAACCTTTTGTTGTTTGGAGGTTAAGAACCAGAATCAGACAATCCTTAGCTGGACAGACTGAAGGTTTCATTTCAAGTTTAACTCCAGTGCCTACCTAGCTCAGGACTGCATGGGGGCCCATGAATTAATGACAAAACAGGAAGAATAAAAAGGAAGATGGGATCAGTCCCACTAGTACAACTTTCTCTTCTCACATCTTTAGGTTCTTTCCATTGAGACAAGGTCATCACTGCACAAAAAAGACAAGAACTATTTATACTCAATGAGGCCACAGGCACCGTTTAATCATCCAGGATGTTGTCGTACTTATTGGATACCCCTGGATTCATTTGATTTATTCCAACTGAGGTGAATGGAAATCGGCACCATCAAGAGGTATTTAGAGTTGTGAAAATTTCAGGTATAATTAAACAAAATGTATCAAATGAGCATTGTCTCCACAAACATAATCAGTTGATCAAGCACCCATAAGACATTATATTTAGGAGACTTACTGTGTCTTTTGGTCCAGAGCTAACTCAGTGGAAATATCACATAATTGTTTAATCATAAAAATCTTTATAAAGTATTGTCCTTTCACGGGGAGGGGGAAGGGTAAGCTGGGACAAAGTAAGAGAGTGGCATAGACAATATATACACTACCAAATGTAAAACAGATAGCTAGTGGGAAGCAGCCGCATAGCACAGGGAGATCAGCTCAGTGCTTTGTGACCACCTAGAGGGCTGGGATAGGGAGGGTGGGAGGGAGACGCAACAGGGAGGGGATATGGGGATATATGTATATGTATAGCTGATTCACTTTGTTATACAGCAGAAACTAACAGAACATTGGAAAACAATTATACTCTAATAAAGATGTTAAAAAAAAAAAGTATTGTCCTTTCAAAATTTCAGGGTAAAGCTCTTCCCAGCTAAATGATAGCTAAACGCATGCATGCATACACACACAAACACACACGTACACACACACAATTAAGGAACCCAGGTTAATACTAGCTTTATTACACTGAAGTGCTTTGCACTCTCCCCATATTTTGACATAAATGAATTTAAGTATGGGTCATTTTTTATGGCAGTACTTACATGATTTAGTTTTTTCAAAATTTCTATTTCTGTTTCAACATTGAGTGCTGGATCCTTTGAAAAAAAAATAACATTAGAGTTTATTAGTAATAATGATAACCAATATTCAGAAAATATTTACAGTTCAATTTAGCTGAGTAAAGGCTGCCTGGACTTCCCTGGTGGCGCAGTGGTTAAGAATCTGCCTGCCGGGGCTTCCCTGGTGGCGCAGTGGTTAAGAATCCACCTGCCAATGAAGGGGACACGGCTTCGAGCCCTGGTCCAGGAAGATCTCACATGCCGCGGAGCAACTAAGCCTGTGCGCCACAACTACTGAACCTGCGCCCTAGAGCCCGAGAGCCACACTACTGAAGCCCTCATGCCTAGAGCCCGTGCTCTGCAACAAGAGAAGCCACCACAATGAGAAGCCCGCGCACCGCAACGAACATAGCCCCCACTCACCACAACTAGAGAAAGCCCGCGCACAGCAACAAAGACCCAATAGAGCCAAAAATAAAAACAAATAAATAAATTAATTTATTAAAAAAAAAAAAAAAGAGGGCTTCCCTGGTGGCGCAGTGGTTGAGAGTCTGCCTGCCGAGGCAGGAGACACGGGTTCGTGCCCCGGTCCAGGAAGATCCCACATGCCGCAGAGCAGCTGGGCCCGTGAACCATGGCCGCTGAGCCTGTGCGTCTGGAGCCTGTGCTCCGCAATGGGAGATGCCACAACAGTGAGAGGCCCGTGTACCGCAAAAAAAAAAAGAATCTGCCTGCCAATGCGGGGTACATGGGTTTGAGCCCTGGTCCAGGAAGATCCCACATGCCGCGGAGCAACTAAGCCCGTGCGCCACAACTACTGAGCCTGTGCTCTAGAGCCCGCGAGCCACAACTACTGAGCCTTCACGCCACAACTACTGAAGCCCGCCTGCCTAGAGCCCATGCTCCTCAACAGGAGAAGCCACCGCAATGAGAAGCCCACGCAACGAAGAGTAACCCCTGCTCGCCACAACTAGAAAAAGCCCTCGCGCAGCAACAAAGACCCAACGTAGCCAAAACTAAATTAATTAATTAATTGATTTAAAAAAAAAAAAAAAAGGCTGCCTGAGTTCCAAAGTCACCACTATTCATACAGAGAAATCAAGGCACAGAGGTGGATGAATTACACAACTCACCTAAAATCACCCTACAAAATGCTTGGCAAATAGTAAGCATTCAATAAGACCAGGCTCTATGCCAAGCTCTTTATTTAAATGGGTCATCTCACGTAAGCCTCATAATCCAAGTGAACTGGGTTCTAAAAGTATCCCAGTTTCACAGATGGAACAACTGAGGCTCAGAGAAAGGAAGCCACTTGCTGCAGTTCCCACAACCAGAAACAAAGTGTGTTTCCACTGTTCTCACACTGACCTGGTAAGCTCTTCTTGTCTCATCAACTGAGGAATTGCTTACATTCATAAAAATGATACAACAAACAAAAACCATAGACAAGAAGGTATTCAATTAAAATGTGTAAAGAAAACGTCAAGTCACAGTTCTAATAATAGAGCAGACCCAGGTTCCAATTTCAAGTGCAAGCTGAGATATTTACTGAGACTCTAAGGAGAGGAGGCTTCAGGGTAGCGAAGTTGCTCTCCGTTACAATTCCAAAAGGATGACTCGAGTTACTCAACCTCACGGGCTACACCCTCCACAAGCAAAGAGGATATAGAATTACATATTTATGTAAAATGGACTTCAGCGAAGAAACCCAGATGTTTAATTTTAAAAACCTGCCTCTTCCTGTAAGCTGGTAAACTTATTACCAAATCCGGGTGTACTCTGATGATGGAGAGGTCTAAAGAGTCCGATAGGATTTGAAAGATGAAATTAAGAAGTAAAATTGTGCTCCAAGTCATTAAGAATCTGGTAGGTTATTTTCTTCCCCCCAAAATGGGAAACAAATCCAGAATCACAGGGGAAAGATCTATAACAACGTGAACACTGAAAGGAAATTCCTCTTGCTGTGTGAGAATGGCATTGTCTGGGGAGAAAAAAAAAAAGAAATTGATCTTTAAAGAATGTTAGACTATAATAGCCAGAAACAGCTGGCCACAAAGGAAAACGTGATTAGAGGCTATGTTTTACATTACTTTGTTGGGTCATGTGTTGAAAGACAAATACCCTTGGCCACTTCAGCAATGCATAAGCATGTATTACAGAAAATGTAATAAAATGAATGGTTACCATATAAAGAGACTATTAAAATAATTTAATTAAGATTTTTAAAAATCTATAAACATGAAGGTATTCATTGCCACGTTATCAGGAAGAGCAAAGAATTAGAAATTACCTAAATGACCTAATTTATCTAAATGATCAACCAGAGAAATGGTTGAATAAATTATGATAAAATTGGTGAAACAGAGACTCGATCATCAAAAAGGATATATTAGGGAAAAGTATATATATTAATGTTTATGTGAAAAAGCAAAATTGTATACACAATATGATCTCAACCATCTAGAAATAGAAATTCATAGGAACAAAGACTAGAAGGAAGGAGAAAACTGAAAACAGCTGTGGGGTTACAGTGGTGGGGATATGGCTGGATTTTTTTTTTTTTTCCTAATTTCCTTTCATTTATTGTAAAAACAGTCTTGTAACAACTTGGAAGGGGAAAAAAAAGCAAAAACAAGTTCCTGCTATGTGTATTATAATGTATAACCAAATATTTTTGGAACCAAATTATCTATAAGTAAGTGTTTAGATTAGTTGAATATACTCAAAAATTTTCAATGTTCTTTGATAAAAATTCAGAGCAATAAATCCTTCCTGACATTGAAAATCACCACTCTAAAATTATTTGGGGAAGGTAAGAAGTGTTAAGAATGACCAAACAGCCACAAACAAGGGTACTTACTGCCTCTCTCTCGGAGCCAATAGCAAACTTCCTTTTGCTGATGATCTTTATGGCTACTTTCTTACACGTCTTCCTCTCGAAAGCTAGCTTCACCTCACCACAGGCGCCACTACAGGGAAAAACACAGCAAGTGACGTGACTGTCAAAATGTTTTTAATCCTGAGACCCACCACTCCTGAACTGGCCTCAACCATTTCGAGCTAAAGACAGCTCATCGTCTCTGTTTTCAGAAACCTCACCAGTGTAAAATGTCAAAGGCATAAGTGAATAGGGACCATCCAGCAACACTGAGTCAGCTCCAAATGCCACTTTTTGAGCTGAGTCATATAGACTTAGGTCTTGCTGTCACCCCAGACTGTGAAACTCTCAGAAAGACACTAAGAACAAATCAGAGAGAAATGATTTATCCCAGGGGCCAGAGAAAGACCAAATACAACCAAGTCCAAGTTAAAAATGAGTGCCTGAAACAAGTAATAGTAAACAGCAACTGCAAATGAATTACTTTCACTGATCCATTTCTCTTCTTTCTTATCCTGTCTTCAAAGGAAGTGCGTAAGCAGTCGATGCCATGAATTGCACCCAAAATAAAATCACAACACGTAAGAAACCAAAAGTGCACCATGAATCTGCTTCCAGCAAGCTCCTGAAGATTTGCAATTAATTGGGATGCTAAAATGGAGGAGGACTGCTACCCAGGATGACACCCAGTACAGTTAATCAAGCATCAGTCACCCATTACCTGCCACAAGTAGACTTTTCTAACCACTGTGGGTTGGGGGATGGGGTGAGGGGGTGGCCAAGACATCTTTTTTTACTATGTGTTGTGTATATACATAACAAAATTTGCCATTGTGATCATTCTTTTTTGTCAATCCTATTAACATGAACAAAAATCGCATTTTATTTTTTTTGGTTTTGTTTTGTGGGGTTTTTTTTTTTGCTTTATCTTAAAGATTCTTTTTTTTTATTGGTGTATAGTTGCTTTACATGCCATTATAATCATTTTAAAGTGTACAATTCAGTGGCATTAAGTACATCCACAATGTTGTGCAGCCATCACCTCTATCTAGTTCTGGAAATTTTTCATCAGCACAAATGGAAACCCCAAACCCATTAAGTGTTCACTCTCCTTTTTCCCTGCCCCCAGCCCCTGGCAACCTCTAATCTGCTTTCTCTCTCTATGGATTTGCCTGCTCAGAATATCTCGCATCAGTGGAATCATACACTATGTGGTCTTTTGTGTCTGACTTCTTTCACTTGGAATGTTTTGAAGGTTCACCCATGCTGTAGCATGTATCAGTATTCCATTCCTTTTTATAGCTAAATAATAGCCCATTTTATGGATATATCACATTTTGTGTATCCATTCTTTTGTTGATGGACACTTAGGTTGTTCCCACCTTTTCGCTACTGTGAATAGAGCTGCAGTGAACTGTTCGTGCACAAGTTTTTGTTGAACATCTGTTTTCAATCTGGGGGGTATATACCTAACAAGGGGAATTACTGCGTCATATGGTAATTGTTTAACTTTTTGAGAAAACATCAAACTATTTCCCACAGTGGCTGCACCATTTTACATTCCCAACAGCAGTGCATAAGGGTGCCAATTTCTCCGCATCCTCACAAACACATGTCATTTTCCATCTCTTTATTATGGCCATCCTAATGGGTGTGAAGCAGCATCTCATTGTGGTTTTGATTTGCACTTCCCTAATGACTAATGATGCTGAGTATCTTCTCAAGTGGTTTTTGGCCATTTCTGTATCTTCTTTGGAGAAATGTCCTTTGCCCATTTTTAAATTGGGTTATCTTTTTGTTGTTGAGTTGTAAAAGTTCTTTATTCTAAATACTAGATTCTTATCAGATATATCATTTGCAGTATTTTCTCTCATTTTATGGCTTGTGTTTCACTCTCTTGATAGTGTCTTTTGAGGCAAAAGTTTTAAAATTTGACGAAGTCTAATTTTTCTATTTTTTTCTTTCGTTGCTTGCGCTTTCGGTGCCGTTTAAGAAACCACTGCTGGGACGTCCCTGGTGGTGCAGTGGTTAAGAATCCGCCTGCCAATGCAGGGGACATGGATTGGAGCCCTGGTCTGGGAAGATCCCACATGCTGCAGAGCAACTAAGCCCATGCGCCACAACTACTGAGCCTGCGTTCTAGAGCCCATGAGCCACAACTACTGAAGCCCTCACACCTAGAGTCCGTGCTCCTCAATAAGAGAAGCCACCTCAATGAGAAGCCCACACACCGCAATGAAGAGCAGCACCCCCTTGCCGCAACTAGAGAAAGCCCGCGTGCAGCAACAAAGACCCAACGCAGACAAAGATAAGATAAAATTAAAAAAAAAAAAAAAAAAATGCAGTAAATGTTTCTTTATGGAAGGTAATGAAAATGTTCTAAAACTGATTGTGGTAAAGGCTTCACAGCTCTGTGAATATACTAAAAACCACTGAACTGTATATTTTTTAATGGGTGAATTGTATGGTATGCAAGTTATATCTCAATAAAACTGCTTTTAAAAAGTTATCACCAATAAAATTTATAAAGAAAAACTACTCAACTGATCATTATAAGTCAATAACATATCTATCACAAATAAGTACCCTACAAATGTTATGAATACATAATGAATGCCATAAAACCAGGAACAAAAAACTAACCAATGACAAAAGTTTAGAAAGAAATTAAGTGCAAGTTCCATAAGAAAAAAAAATTACCTTCCAAGAGTTTTGGACATGATGTATTCGTCTCTTAATTCCTTGGGATAAACTGACTGATCATCTACAGTCAGATCAAAAAATACAAAAACTAAGGAAAAAATGGCAGAAATAGGTCTCATTAATCCATTTGATAAAGAAAAGATAAATGGTCCTATAACTTAGTAAACATATGGAATGTAAGACAATCGTTCTTAATTCCATTTAACATCTAACCCCAAAGAAATCATTTAGCTAGGCTAATGCATGTCGTGAAACCCTTGAAAAATGATGACAGACAAGCTTCATTCCACAATGGAAACACACAGCATCATTCTCACTATAATGCAGGAAACTCATACATAAATGCTATTCTTATTCTTTGACCTCAGAACAGTTATCAATTGCTCAGGCCCAGAAGCAAAAGGCAAGTAGTTTGAATCTAGAAAATATGTTCTAAGCAAGTAAATATCCCAAAAGAATCAGGCCAGAGGTCACATACTAGTATTATCTTCTCTCAACCATTTCTACCTTTACCTAGCTGGTATTTTATAGTGCAAGCCACCTTGAACTTACTTGTAAAATTAACTAAATAACACTTTCCAAAAGAATCCCCTTTATTTCTTCATTATTCGGCCTGTAACTCAGAAAAAGAAAACCAAAAAACTGCTCATTTCATAATTTAACCATCCATTGGGCCAAACCTGCAATCAGTTATCAAACATTCCAGTTCTACAAAGTGGTAAATTTTCAACTGCCTATAATATCTGGAAAGAGTGAAATTTGTTAAGACCCTTGAGTTTCTCAGATTTCAGGTGATGGGTCTTGACCTCCCTGGAGTAACCTAGAGATCCAGTCTCTGGCATTTAAATCTGAACCAGCTCAGCATGCTTCAATCCAGGCTGGTCCCCAGAAGGCAGACAGCTGCCTAATGAATGAGACCTGCTGGCTACCTAGGATACAACCGTTCCTCCCTGCTTATTGATACTGATGAACCTAGATGTTACAGTGACACTTGAGAATCAGGGAATTTGAGGGGCTCTGGAGATGTATTTTCCCAAGTGTCGAGGTCTACTTCAGGGGCTGTAAACTCAGTTGCCTACACAAGCCAGGAAGGTCATACACACAGGTAAGGCTGGAGTGAGTGTAAGATATGGAGCAGTGGAGACTTGAACAGGAAAACATCATCCATCTAAAGGAGGAAGCCTCTACTTAGCACCTGCAAATCCTCAAATTAGGGATAATATGCTCAAGTATGGCCAGATAGTCCATCTTCTCAAAGAAAACTGGATTTTCATATTAAAGCACAAACATCAGCAAAGGCCTAAAAGAATGTCAATAGGCTGAATCAGTCTGCAGAGTACCAGTTTTGTTTTGTTTTGTTTTGTTTTGTTTTGTTTTTGTGGTACACAGGCCTCTCACTGTTGTGGCCTCTCCCGTCGTGGAGCACAGGCTCCGGACACGCAGGCTCAGCGGCCATGGCTCACGGGCCCAGCCGCTCCACGGCATGTGGGATCTTCCCGGACCGGGGCACGAACCCATGTCCCCTGCATCGGCAGGCGGACTCTCAACCACTGCGCCACCAGGGAAGCCCCAAAGTACCAGTTTGATCGATTTCCATCACGGCCAGCTTCAGATCACATAACACTTTTGTTCAAATAAGAAAAGGTGCCCTTCAGATAGAACAATTAGAAAAAGATGGCACACCACTTGTCAAGTAGAGGACAGGCCACATTTCAGCAACCAGTTGCCTACCTCAACCAGGTGCTCACAAACAGCAAAAGCCTGTGCAGCTGTCCTGACTATAATTATCAGACAGGAAATAAAAGTTAGAAAACAGGAGAAACTAAGGCAATCATAAAATGTACTACAGGATGTCCATAATAGCCATAATTCTGAGATGCCAGTCTGAAGACTGGTTGCATGAGAATCACCTGGGCGGGATTTTTTAAATCCCTGGAACTAGTGGATCAGGATGTATGGGACAGTGCCTCTGGGAATCTATATTTTTAAGGTGTTATCCACACAAACACATACCATTCCAAGTCGCTCAACTCTCACATAGTTTTGGGAAGTTCTGTGAGTTTTTTTTCAAATTAAAGAAACGAGAGTATTCCTCGTGTCCAAGATTTCAAAATCACTGTGAGCTATATTTAATTCTGTAGGTTGTTTTTATCCACACCGAATAACAACTGTTCATTTTAGATGTGATATTCATGAAGTTTTAGGAATAAATGCTTATAAAATACTACCCGATAATGATGATAAACATCTCCACTTTCAAAGGATAACCACGTCATATTTAAGAAGGTGGAAGGTCTAAATTGAGATTGTTACAGAAAAACCCATAGCCTAATGCCGGGTTATATATAATAGTTCAATAAATATATGCAGAAATTAATGACCGAAAGGAATAAAGAAAGGGAAGAATAAGGAAGGAAGAGAAAAAGAGGGGGAAGGGATGAACTAATGGCCTAAAATAACAACTCATAGATAGCTAAGACAGATGTGATAAAAGTGAATCAATTAATGAATGATAACTAAGCAAAATGATAATTTAAAGCATATGGCTTTAAACAAAACTAATCAAACCAATTAAACCTTAGAAAATCTGTCTTAATAGAACTTTTGATTGTTAAAAAATGCAACTAGGGGGCTTCCCTGGTGGCACAGTGGTTGAGAGTCCGCCTGCCGATGCAGGGGACAGGGGTTCATGCCCCAGTCTGGGAAGATCCCACATGCCGTGGAGTGACTGGGCCCATGAGCCATGGCTGCTGAGCCTGTGCGTCCAGAGCCTGCACATCTGGAGACTGTGCTCCGCAACAGGAGAGGCCACAGCAGTGAGAAGCCCGCATACCGGAAAAAAAAAAAAAAATGCAACTAGGATTGAGGTGAATCTTGAATACTAACCTACTTACTTTATGTACCTAACCATACTCTGCAAAGGACACAATGTCATTTTTCCTTTTATACAGGAAGAAAAAATTCCAGTAACCAGAAGATAATAATATTACCTTTATTACTCCATACTGAAAGTGCAATTTCAGAATTGTTATTCAAAGGAAGGCGTCTTCCTTTCCCTACAAGATCTCTATTTACAAAGGTTCCATTCCCACTGTGATCTTCTATGTAGGCGATGTAAGAGTTTTTAGGACCCATTTCCTAAAACAGAAAACATTTTATTTCAAAGTTTTACTGGTGGAGTGTTTCAGTGGGGAGACAACTAAGAGTGATGTCTAGATGACCAGTTCTCCCAAATGTATGGATATTTGCCACCTACTCTGAAGATCCGAAAGTGCTTCTTGCTGTAAGTCCGGTATTTATCAGTTCTTTTCAGCAGGGGTTCATCAAAGCAGTATTCACAGTTTCTATCTCTCCCAAACCAGTAGCTGTCGTTAACACACTCTGTAACACAAAAGCACACCCCAGAGGGCTGTTAAATTTCATGTATCAAACACCTTTAAAAACTGTTCATAAAATCTGCTTGTAGGAAAATAGCCTAAGAAGGCAATCAAAATTATAGATTTGTCCATCAAGATTTTATAAGATTCAAAATCAGTGGGGAGAAAAAAACCAAATATTTCCAACGAGTTTAACAAATTATGGTTTATACATAGCCATGAAATGTAAGCAGTCATTAAAATTCTCAAATAATTTTTAATGACTTGGAAAAATACTTATGATATAATAATAACTTCCTACTTATTACTCTCCTGAGGCTTCCCATCATACTTAGTATGAAATCTACACTCCACATGGCAGGCTAGATGCTCAGGATCTGGCCCCTGCCCCCCTCCCAACTTCACCTTGTACCTCTCCCCTTGATCACTACACTCAGCTCCACTGGCCTCCTTCCACTGCCCCAAATATGCTGGGTTCAACCTCCCTTGTGGCCTTTGAGTTCTTCATTCCCAGTGATTTGAATGGCCATCTTGCCTTTTGTGTCTGCAAATTATCATCTTCCACTCAGCTTTCTGTATAAGCACACTCCCAGCTCACCACCCACTCACCATAATCACAAGAGCCTGTTCTGCCTCCCTCTATAACTGAAAATTATCTTGATTATTTGTATATTGTCTCCTGGCATCCCCCATTAGAACAAATTCCAGAAGGGCAGCCTTGAGTCTCTTGTTTACGAATACAGCTCCAGCACCTAGGACAATGCATATGGTAGGCAAGCAAAGTGTTCACGGAAAGACAGACTAGGGAAAATATTACCAACTCATGCCACAATCAAAGGACTATTTCCCTAATATCTGTAAAGTTGATGGAAACAAACCAAATGTCCTACAATGGATGAATGGATAAACAAATTGTGATATCACAAATTGTGATATTTACATACAATGGACTATTTTTCACCCATAAAAAGGAATAAAGCTAAAACTCATACATCTACAACATGGACGAACCTTGAAAACATTATGCTAAGTGAAAGAAGCCAGACACAAAATGCCACAGACTGTATGACTGTATTTATATGAAATATCCAGAACAGTTAAATCCATAGATATGAAATGCAGATTGGTGGTTGCCAGGGGCAGAGGAGGAAGGGATGGGGAGTAACTGCTTAATGGATATAGGGTTTCATTTTGGAGTAAAGGAAATATTTCAGAACTGGACAGAAGTGGTGGTTGCACAATGTTGTGAATGTACTAAAGGTCACTGAACTGTTCACATTAAAATCGTTAATTTTAGGGACTTCCCTGGTGGTGCAATGGTTAGGAATCTGCCCGCCAATGCAGGGGACATGGGTTCGATCCCTGGTCTGGGAAGATCCCACATGCCATGGAGCAACCAAGCCCATGCACCATAACTACTGAGCCTGTGCTCTAGAGCCCACAAGCCACAACTACTGAGCCTGTGTGTCACAACTACTGAAGCCTGCGCGCCTAGAGCCTGTGCTCTGCAACAAGAGACGCCACTGCAATGAGAAGCAGGCGCACCGCAGCAAAAAGTAGCCCCCACTCGTCGCAACTAGAGAAAGCCCACACACAGCAACAAAGACCCAATGCAGCCATAAATAAATAAATAAATAAGTTTTTTAAATGGTTAATTTTATGTTATGTGAATTTCACCTCAATTCCTTAGTTATATGTGCACACACCCATTGGTCCAGAAATCCCACTTCTAGGAATTTATCCTACAGACAGAATCATATGTATTACGAAAGGACATAAGGACATATGTACAAGGTTATTCACTATAGCATTATTCCTTTTTTTTAATAAATTTATTTATCTATTTATTTATTTTTGGCTGCATTGGGTCTTCATTGCTGCGAACGGGCTTTCTCTAGATGCGGTGAGCGGGGGGCTACTCTTCGTTGCGGTGTGTGGGCTTCCCATTGTGGTGGCTTCTCTTGTTGTGGAGTATGGGCTCTAGGCGTGCGGGCTTCAGTAGTTGTGGCTCCTGGGCTCTAGAGCACAGGCTTAGTTGCTCCGCAGCATGTGGGATCTTCCCGGACCAGGGATTGAACCCATGTCCCCTGCATTGGCAGGCAGATTCTTAACCACTGTGCCACCAGGGGAGACCTATAGCATTACTCTTATAGCAACAACTTTAATGTCCATTAGTAAAGGGCTAGTCCAATAAATTTATATATCTACAAAAGAAATGGGGATCTTTACATTCCGATAGAAGAATGTCTAAGATACATTGTTAAACATAAACAACAGGTTACAACCAGTGTGCTGTAAATTACAGTTGGTATAAATAATAAAGGGGGGAAAAAGAACACATAGATACTTAGTTGCTTATATGTGCACCAAATATTTCTGGAAGGCTACATAAGAAATCAGCAATCCTGGGAGGTAGTTGGGGGAAAGACAGAAATTGGATGAAGGCCTTGCACCTGTTTTCAATTTTGCACCTAATGCAAATATAACCTCTTCAAAAAGTTAAATTAATCGCTTAAAGAGTTTGCAGTCTGGTTGGGAGACAAACAGGGAAGCAACAACAATACAGCAGGTAGACTCTCGAGGGAAAGCACAGATGCAAGGCTGTGGCAACTCTGCCTGGGACTATCAAAAAGGCTTCATGAGGCAAGACAGGAAGGATAGATTGAACAGCCCTTTGGAAGGCAACATGGCAGTACCCATTACAAGGTAAAGCCATGCCCATTCTATGATCCAGCAACTCAACACAGGCTCTACCCTAGAGAGACATTTGTCCAAATGACCAAGGAGACAAGGACATTCATTGCAGTCTTGCTTGCAGGAATAAACACTGGCAACAACCTAAGCATCTATTAACAGGGAAATGTATAAATGAACCATGGTATTTCTACTAGAAACCAGGAGCTTCTGGGACAGTTGCGAAGGAAAGGCATGGAGATTTTATCAGGACACCAACAGTCCAGGGAGGATGGACAGAGAGTGGAAGGGGAGGCTGCCCATGGAAGAGCCTGCTCTGACCTTGGCTCATTAGAGGAGCCCTCAGGAAAGATGTGTGGAGGAGGGCAGGGACAGCAAGGCAGGAGGCAAAGGGACCAAAACTCTCAGTGAGGCAATTAGGAGTAAGAACCCCAGGAAGATGGGCCCCTTCTCCTAGTAGTGAAGAATGGGGCACAGTTGAGATGGTGACAGGAGAGAGGAACATCACAAACAAGACAAGGATGTCTGCTCTTAAAACTTCTATTCTGGGGCTTCCCTGGTGGCGCAGTGATTGAGAGTCCGCCTGCCGATGCAGGGACACGGTTCGTGCCCCAGTCTGGGAAGATCCCACATGCTGCGGAGCGGCTGGGCCCGTGAGCCATGGCCGCTGAGCCTGCGCGTCCGGAGCCTGTGCTCCGCAACGGGAGAGGCCACAACAGTGAGAGGCCCGCATACCACAAAAAAAAAAAAAAAAACCACTTCTATTCCATGTAAGAGATTCAAGCCAGGACAGTTAACAGAGGGAGGGAGAGGGAGATGAAAAGCCAAGGCATCCATATTGGAAAGGAAGAAGCAGATCTATCTAATCCTATTCACAAACGACATAATCTTATATGTAGAAAATCCTAAGGAACCCACTAAAAAAGATTAGCCCAAATAAACAAGTTCAGCAACATTACAGGATACAAGATCAATATTCAAAAACCACTTGTATTTCTACACACTAGCAATGGACAACCTAAAATGAAATTAAGAAAATAATTCCATTTACAATAGCATAAAAAGAATAAAATACTTGGGAATAAATTTAACAAAAGAAGAGCGAATCTTATACTCTAAAAGCTACAAAACATTGTTGGAAAAAATTTGAAAGACCTATGTAAATGTGCATGGATTGGAAGACTTAATGTTAAGATGGCAAAACTCCCATACTATACACAATTCCTATCAAAATCCCAGCAGCCTTCTTTGCAGAAATTAACAAGCTCAAACTAAAATTCCTATAAAAAAGCAAGGACCCGGAATAGCAAAACAATCTTGAAAATGAAGTACAAAGGGCTTACTTACATTTTGCAGTTTCAAAACTTACTACAGGACTTCCCTGGTGGCACAGTGGTCAAGAATCCACCTGCCAATGCAGTGGACACAGGCTCAAGCCCTGATCCAGGAAGATCCCACATGCTGTGAAGCACTAAGCCCATGTGCCACAACTACTGAGCCTGCACTCTAGAGCCCACGAGCCACAACTACTGAGCCCGTGTGCCACAGTTACTGAAGCCCACGTGCCTAGAGCCTGTGCTCCGCAACAAGAGAAGCTACCACAATGAGAAGCACGCGATGAAGAGTAGCAATGAAGAGTAGCCCCCACTCACTGCAACTAGAGAAAGCCCACGCGCATCAACAAAGACCCAATGCAGCCAAAAATAAATAAATAAATAAAAATTTAAAAACTTACTACAAAGCTATCATAATCAAGACAGTGTGGGGGCTTCCCTGATGGCGCAGTGGTTGAGAATCTGCCTGCTAATGCAGGGGACACGGGTTTGAGCCCTGGTGTGGGAGGATCCCACATGCTGCGGAGCAACTAGGCCCGTGAGCCACAACTACTGAGCCTGCGCGTCTGGAGCTTGTGCTCCGCAACAAGAGAGGCTGCGAGAGTGAGAGGCCTGCGCACCGCAATGAAGAGTGGACCCAACTTGCCACAACTAGAGAAAGCCCTCGCATAGAAACGAAGACCCAACACAGCAAAAATAAATTAATTAATTAATAAACTCCTACCCTCAACATCTAAAAAAAAAAAAGATTAAAAAAAAAAGACAGTGTGGTACTAGTGAAAGGTTAGGCATACAGATCAATGGAAAAAAATTAAGAGACAGAAAATAAATCACATTTACAGTCAACTGATTTTCAACAAGGTGCCAACACAATTCATTGGGGAAAAAATAGTCTTTTCAAATGGTGCTAGGACAAGTGGATATCTACATGTAAAATAATCTAGTTGGAACTTACCTCACACCATATGCAAAAAGCAACTAAAAGAGAATCAAAGATTAATTGCAGGAACTAAAACTATAAGAAGAAAAAATGGTGATAAGGCTTTGTAACCTTGGGTTAAGCAATTCTGTCTAGATATGACCCCAAAGCACAAGAAACGAAAGAAAAAATATAAAAATTGGACATAATTAAAATTTAAAATGTGTGTGAATCAAAGAACATCATCAAGAAAGTGAAAAGAAGTGAATGGGGGAAAATATTTGCAAAACACATATCTAGTAAGGGATTTATATCTACCATATAAAAAAGGACACTTACAACTCAATAATAAGACAAACAATCCAATTTTAAAATGAGCAAAGATGGGGATATATGTTTATGTATAGCTGATTCACTTTGTTATAAAGCAGAAACTAACACACCACTGTAAAGCAACTGTACTCCAATAAAGATTTTTAAAGAAGTAAAATAAAAATGAGCAAAGGATATGAATAGACATTTCTCCAAATACATAAAAATGACCAATAAGCACATGAAAAGATGTTTAACATCATTAGAGCCATCAGGGAAATGTAAAACAAAATCACAATGAGATACCACTTCACACCTACTACGATGATGAAAATCAAAAGACAGATATTAAGTGGTGGCGAAATGTGGAGAAATTAGAACCCTCATACATTAGTAGTGGGAATATGGAATAGTGCAGCTGCTGTGGAAAACAGTTTGGTGGTTTCTTAAAAACTTAAACATGTTATCCAGCAATTCCACTCCTAGGCACTAAATACCCCCCAAAAAATTGAAAACAGAGACTCAAACAGATACTTGTCACAAATATTCATAGCAGCATTTTTCAAAATGGCCAAAAGGTCCAAATGTCCATCAACAGAAAGGATAAAGAAAATGTGATATATTTATACAATATTATTATTCAGATATATTATTCAGACATAAAAAGAAACAAAGTTCTGATACATGATACAACATGAATGAACTTTGAAAATATTATGCTACATGAAAGAAGCCAGATACAAAAGGACAAATATTATGATTTCACTTAAACAAAATATCTAGAATAGGTAAATTCAAAGACAGAGAAAATAGGTTAGAAATTACCAAAAGAACTCAATGGGGAAAGGATAATCTCTTCAATAAATGGTACTGGGAAAACTGAATAACCACATGCAGAAGAATGAAATTGGACCCCTATCTTACACCACTCACAAAAATTAATTTGAAATCGATTAAGGACTTAAACAGAAGAAGTGAAACCGTAAAACTAGAAGAAAGCAAATGGTAATTATGTGATGTGAAGGAGGTGTTAGCTAAGGCTATGGTGGAGATCATTTTGCAATATATAAGTGTATCAAACTGTACACCTTAAACTTACACAATGTTATATACGTCACTTATATATGTCTCAATAAAGCTAGGGGGGAAAAGAAATTACCAGAGGAAAAAATTTTGGAAATAGATAATGGTGATGGTTGCACAACATTGTGAAAGTACTAATGCCAATGGACTGCATACTTAATGGTTAAAATGACAAAATTTTATGTTATATATATTTTATCACAATGAAAAGAAGTAAACATTAAAAAATACTAAGGAATAAAGTTTTTAAAGTGCAAGACTTGTACCCTGAAAACTACAAAACACTGTTGAAAGAAATTAAAGAAGACCTAAATAAATGAAAGCTACCCCATGTTCACAGATTGGAAGACTTAATACAGTTAAGATGGGAATATTACCCATATTGATCTACAGATTTAATTCCAGCTGCCTTCTTTGCAGGAAGTGACAAGCTTATCTTAAAATTCCTATGGAAAAGTAAAGAACCATAGTAGTCAAAATAATCTTGAAAAAGAACAAATCAGGACTCACTCTGGATTTCAAAATTTACTACAAAGCTACAGTAATCAAGATTTTGTGGTACTAGCATAAGGACAGACACATAGATCCATGGAACAGAACTGAAAATCCAGAATTAAACCCCACATTTATGGTCAAATGATCTTTAATGAGGGTGTCAAGACCATTCAAGGGGGAAAGAGTAGTCTCGTCAAGAAATAGTGCTCGGGGGGCTTCCCTGGTGGCGCAATGGTTAAGAATCCACCTGCCAATGCAGGGTACACGGGTTCGAACCCTAGCCCGGGAAGATCCCATATGCCGCGGAGCAGCTAAGCCCGTGCACCACAACTACTGAGCCTGCGCTCTACAGCCTGAGAGCCACAACTACTGAGCCCGCACTCTAGAGCCCACGTGCTACAACTACTGAAGCCCTCATGCCTAGAGCCCATGCTCCACAACAAGAGAAGCCACGGTGATGAGAAGCCCATGCACCACAACGAGGAGTAGCCACCACTCACCACAACTAGAGAAAGCCCACGTGCAGCAACAAAGACCCAACACAGCCAAAAATAAATAAATTTATAAAAAAGAAAAAAGAAAGAAATAGTGCTCGGACAACTGTACATTCCCATGCCAAAGGATGAATTTGGACAATACCTCATATCATGTACAAAAATCAACTCAAAAGGGATAAGAGCTAAAACTGTAAATTATTTAGAAGAAAAGATAGGTGTGAATCAATAACAAATAATAACAATAAAATATTATAGCTTCTCTTTATTGAGCCATTACTTTATGCTGGTCTCCCTAACAAGCTCTTTGTGTATGTAATCTTAAGTTTAAAGGAGATACACCCAACTTCACCCTAACTCACCATTTCTGTGTCCCACTCACCATACATCAGCCCTAAGCCTAGCTTAAATATATAGCTTAAATGAGTAAAAATTAGCTTCAAATGCTTACTTCTAAATTTAAAGTTGTATGTATGAATATTGCTATATTATTTCTCCATTTTTTACTGTTTTTTCCAAGTCATCGAAGTTGCACATGACATAAAAGGGAAGGGTGAGTGACAAGATACAAAATGGTACATTAGCCATTCATTTCTTTACATTATTATTTTCTATTCCATTAATGTCAAGTTCTTTTTTTTTTTTTTTTTTGTAATAAAGAGGTCATTTTAATTCAAAACAGAGGAAAAATGCTACTTAAAACATACCGAGAGCAAAGCCTTACTGTTGGAACCAGGTGTCAGAGAGGAGGAGTATATTTAAACAGCAAGGTTGGCTATTTTGAGATAAATATAAGTAACAGGGAGTCAACAAATAACCTTCCCCATTCTGAAACTGTAAAACTGATTCTCTGAAACTGCTGCACCACCAGCAGGAGTTAAGTGGTGAAGTTTCTGTGATTAGATGACAAATGTTTGCAAGCTTGCATGAATCAGCGTTTTTCTAGGGAAAAGATCCACAACCCTCTTCAGATGGACAACACATGGCAGACGCCCAATTAATGTTTGTCGAAAGTACAAATGAAGGGGCTCTACAGCAAGTAAGAGCCCGTGCACAACCCAAAACTGCTTCCTTGGTTCCATCTTTCATCACCTTCAAACTCCAGAATCATTCCAGGAGTGTCTTGAGCTGTCTGTTGCAACAACTTTCTAAAACTGTTTTTCTGAACAAAATACTACAAAGGGTCTTACCGAGATTAGAGAATCCATCCTGAAGGGCCCATAATCGAGCCCAAGGGGCAGGGACAGGCTCCTCGGGTTCTTGGTCCTCAGGAATAGAATAGAGTTCCTGCGTAGACACTGTGTCTAAGGAGCTCAGCGTACCCGAGCTGGAGTGAGAGGACTGGCTGGACGTGGGCACCGTGCTGGTGGAGGAGCTGGACGTGCCCTGGGACTGTGAAGAGGAGCCATGTGGCTGTGAGGAGGGACCGTGGGACTGCGAGAAGCCACCTTGGGACTGTGGGGAGGCACTGCCATGGGGCTGATGACACTCCACATCCGTCTCCCGAGACATCACCACCTCAAAAATAAGTGTCCAACAGTAAGGTGAATTTCAAGGAACAAGACATCGTAAAGGTCAAGAGTAAAGGATGGGTATATTACAACAGCCAAAAAAAAAAAAGATCCAGGATACGCATGCTCTGCAAAAATTAAAATTCTAGGGCTTCCCTGGTGGCGCAGTGGTTAGGAGTCCGCCTGCCGATGCAGGGGACACGGGTTCGTGCCCCGGTCCGCGAGGATCCCACATGCCGCGAAGCAGCTGGGCCCGTGAGCCATGGCCGCTGAGCCTGCGCGTCCGGAGCCTGTGCTCCGCGGCGGGAGAGGCCACAACAGTGAGAGGCCCACGTACCGCAAAAAAAAAAAATTAAAATTCTAAGAGTTTAGACCTATCATTCTTCTGGGCTGAGCTTTTCATCACATCATTTTCACCTGATAAGTTTTTGTGTGACAGCCACAACCACAGAGGACAGAAACAAATTATTTGAAGGCTGTAAACAAGTAAAAAGCAATGAAACTGAATTGGGGAGGGCGAGAGACTCATAACAGCTTACACTCATCCAATTTTTTAAAATTAAAAATGGAACCTAAAATGTATTCGTTAATACAATCAACACTACACTTAAACTTCATATGTATTTTTGAAAAAGAAAGAAAGGGAAGAGTCACGTGGTTTGGCATAGACTAAGAGAAACTCTACAGAAATTTGCTGCATCACCCCAGGGGTGGCTATTTTATACATAAAATGTCACTGTTGCCCCCTCTTCCCCAAACCAGCTCCTGGAGGGTAGGACCCAAGTTCATTCTAGATTCCTTTGACTCCAAACTAAGAGCTGGGCCACTTAAAGAGGCGAAACACAAAGACTGCTCTAAACAACTCCACCTAGCCCTTTGTGATGCTAATTAACTATGGGGCTCACCTTTTCAGCATCCTAAATGGCCTCCCAGCCCAACAGAAGCCTGAAGAAAACCAAGATGAGACACAGAAGACCATAACAGAGGTTCCCACCCCAGCTTTATAATTAATTTGATAGACAGTTAAACTCCAATAACAGAACCTACAGTAAAGTCAAAGTAACTTTCAATCCCTAACTTTAAATCCCTAATCTGATTAAAAAAAAAAAAAAAAGTGCTTTCTCTCCTGAATCCCACACTCAGGCTACCCCTCAAGGATAATATAGTAAACATGACTCACACTGATTATTGCATTTACACAGCTTTCCAGATGCAAAGGTCCTGATGAGTTTTCCTGAAAGCACACCAGGGAGGTAGGTGTTGCCAGAGCTAGGTCCGCCACTTCAGGACCTGCTGCTCTAATACCACCTCAGCCGAGCTGTGTCCTCCTGCAGCTTCTTGAGCAAGACTTCTCTGCCCTGAAAACTGGCAAAAGACAGTGTGTCAAAAGGTAGCTGCTATCATCGTTCATGATAAGAAGGGTCCACCAGGCCAGGACTACATTGGCCTCTGCCATGAGGAAAAAGCATAGTGGAGAGGTTATAAGCAAACAGATCTGGAGTCGAGTCAGATGTCTAAGTCAACTCTTTGCACGACCTTTACGTAGATCGCAACCTCTCTGAACCCATAAAAGTAGATGGAGCTTGCGAATCAAATGAGATGATGCATCAACGTTCCTCCCCCCACCCCTCGGTAATGCTTGATAATTGGGAATTCCAGGCCCAAAGAATCTGAAAGCAGGAAAAGGCCTTACAAGTGCAACACAGTTGTTTTTTTCCAATAGAGAAACTGAGTCCCAAGGAAGATTGGTGCCCTCCTACCCTACCCTCGCCACCCCATCCCCCACACTTCCTTAGGGACACTCGCAGAGCATCTTCCTACAGAAGTCGGTGTGTTTCCAGTTCCTGCAGCGCCTTGCAGCTAAGAATGGGTTCTTAGTAAGCATTTTCCAGATTGAACCTAAATATGGAAATAATTACTAACACCTATAAAACTCTCTACAGAGCAACTTCGCTCTCATTTTGAAGGGGACAACTTTGTTCTTTCTTATCCTTTACGTCTGGGCTAGTTTCAGCTTTAAAGTTACAAGGGAAGTGACCTTCACCTCGAAATTTACCTACAAAGAAGGAAGAGAGTCGTCCACGCATTCCTCTCCCCCTTCCCAAGCTCAAACACAGTACAAAACGGAAGCTTAGGAAATTCAGCTCGCAAAAAGACCCTGAGGACAGGATTCGAACCCCTCAGTACCCAAGAGAAGTTCCCACTACGACTCACCGCGAGCCCACCTAGCACCGCACACTCTGAGCAGCCGTAGCCAGCGGAGTGGCGCTAAACCCGCTGATACAAACTCCACCCTCAGCCAATCAAAACACCCCTCCGCCCCCGCCGGACCAATGACAAACAGCGGATGTGGCGGCCCACATAGCCTCAATGCTTTCTGGGAGTTGTAGTTTAAAACGCAGAGCGGGACTCAAAATCCAGGTTCCCCCCGGGTAGTCCCGCCCCCTCAGCTTCCCGGCCAATCAGCAGCACCAGTCTGGTCGACCACTTTCTCTCCCCAACAGGTGACCGCGGGGAGGCCGGCCGCCAGCCAGATGTGGTGCGGAAGAACCAGGGCCTTGCTCCGGGTGTCGGGGTTATGGCCGACAGGGGTGCTCGGGAGGAGACCGCTAAACTGCAGTGCTGCGTCACTGGCGGGAAGCAACTCCCCCCGGTGTTGGAACTGCGGCGGCCTAGGGGGCCCCTTGCGGGGGGACCGGTTCTTCTGCCCTCAGTGCTGCGCGCTGCAGCCACCTGACCCCACGCGAGACTACTTCAGCCTCATGGACTGGTAAGGGAGGCGGTTTCGGGAAATACGTCTGGGCGTGCGAGATGGAGGGCTGGTCAGGCTAAGGGAGGAGAAGGCGGGACCAGTTACATGGGTGGGCGGAGCCCTAGAGAACAGGGGCCGGGGGTGGGGCCTGGGAGAAGGTGGGTGGGATGTGTCGGGAGAGGAAACCGAGGGGCCGGACTGAGCGGCCAAGGTTTGTGGGATGACGACGAGAGTGGAGCGCGGACTGGTGGGGCGAGGAGTGTGATTAGGCGAAATTGAGGTTTGGAGCCTGCAATGGAGGGAGACTTGAGGGGCGGGATCTGAGAGAAGGAAGTTCAGAGGTGGGGCCTGAGGGAAGGGTGCTTGCGCGGCCCTTGGCGGATGGAGTCTTGAGGAATAGGTTCAGAAGGTTTAAAGTTGGGTTGAGACTTTTAAGAAAGAAATAATGAGGTGTTATCCAAAATGAGAGAGTAAGAGCAAAGAAAAACTTAATGCTATGGGCAGAGTCTAAGGGAAAAGTGAGAATTGGAAGGTCTGAGAAATAGATGTTTTTTCTGTTTACCTCCGAAGGTTGAGGAGCTTGGAGAGGTGGTGAAGTTTGGGCGAAGCTAAACTAATGAGATAGGGCACGCTCTGGGAATAGAAAGCGAAGAGGATTCGATTAAAATAAAGTGAGAGGTAGAGATGAAGGGACCTGGGCCTTAGAAAAATAGAGTGGGATTCAGGAATGCCTCTTCCCCGTAACTCTGGGCTCTGGCCCCACCAGTCACTGAGCATTTATGAAGGGTTGCAGTAACACTGCTCTTTACGTTGTTCAATCATACCAATCTTGTTCCCACTTCAAGGCCTTTGCATGTTCCCTGTGCCTGAATGACTCTTTCCTGTGATCTTCAGTTACTCCTCATCATCATTCAGGTCTCAGCTCAAATGTCATCTCTTTGTCCAGCACATCTACCATTCTCTTATCCTATTCTGTTTTCCTTTGCTGTACCTACCACTTTTTGAAATAGCTCTGTCTATATGTTTATTGCGTCATCCCCCATGAGAACAGGAACCAGGCCCATACTATACAAATCTATAAACATTTGATGCATGAATTTCATCTCCTGATTTCCTTCCAGCAACCGCTCCTTCAGAGTTGACACTGCAAAGCTCCAGCATAGGTACCAGCAACTACAGCGTCTTATCCACCCAGATTTCTTCAGCCAGAGGTCTCAGGTAGCCTATTGGCCACCCATAATCACACCCAAACACGTGTGTACCCTGGGTGGGTGGCAGTGTCCTTATGGTTATCAAGGACAGAGCTGGACAGCCAGCTTCGCCCTGAGGTAGCCTGACCCCAGCCATCCAGATGCTGGACCTGTCTTACACTCAGAGCTTTTACCTGATTTCCCAGCAGAATTAGAACCCATCACCTGAAAATAAAAACAGCTTATCCCATACTGGTTCTCCTTTGGTCACTTCCTTATGTGCTTGCCCATCAGTATTTTATGAAACAGTTTGTGAATGTAAGATGGCCTATTTGCATGGTAATATGACTATCTTCATTTCCACTTACAGACTGAAAAGGATTTCTCAGAGAAGCATTCGACCCTTGTTAATGATGCCTATAAGACTCTTCTGGCTCCCCTGAGCAGGGGACTATACCTTGTAAGGTGATTTTCCCACCCTTCTATCATGACAGCCTGGTCCCATTGCTCTGTAGGACAGCTGCTCCCCTGTGTTCAACAGAAGAGTGCTTGAGACCCGAGCTAATCTAGGGACCCAACGATAATTAACCTCAAAGATACTATTACATGAGTATAGTTTTCTCTGAGTATGTCTGTAAATCTTACTTGCCCAATTGCCTTTTTTTTTTTTTTTTTTTTTTTACCATTTTCTATAAATTTCAAGGATTAGATAGTGCTGGCTTTTAGGGAAGAGTAATTTTTGTTTTTTTGTGGGGGAGAAGTGAGCACCTTAGAATTTTAGGATTTAATAGAATTTTTACAAATATCTAATTCAACCTCCTTCCACTTTTTTCCCAAGTGGAAGAATGACTCCCCCGAGGTCACATAGTGCCAGGTAGCCGGGAGTGATCCCATCCCAGCACTCCTATCTCAGTCTAACTTTCCAGTACCCTACCCTCACACTTTCACTATTGAGACAGTTCAGGTTTTCCCTGTGAGTGGCATTCTGTTCTGAATGGTGAGGAGGATTTATGGTGAGGAGGATTTATGACTCTGGCCATAGTTTCTTGAATTAAACTTATTTTCCCTGCTTTATGCCCCAATAGCTAAAGCTCTGTGGAGTAGAGATTCCCGAAGGGACAGATTATGAAATGGACAGTCAATTCCTCATGGAAATAATGGAAATCAATGAAAAACTTGCAGAAGCTCAAGGTGAAACTGCCATGAAAGAGATGGAATCTATTGTCAGAGGTAAAAGATAAAATACCACCGACTGCATTTTATTGCTATTTTGAGTACATGTAGGGGTTAAGTGAAAAATGGATATAAAGACTACATATTGGCCTTCATAATGATTCAGGGAATTTTTTTTTTCTTGATTACGCTGAAACCCATTTTGTTTAGAGGTTAGGCTTGCAAAATTCCTAATTCTCTGGAAGGCGGACTTAAACCAAGAATGTAATAGTATTTTGCAGATTGCTGTGCTCCTTCTCACCCATGACATCCTTTGGATATCTCTGACAAGAAAAATAGGCCTCAGAAGTTCATGGGAATGCCCAAGGTCACACAGCAGATATAGCAGAGCAAAGTTTGAAACCTTGATCTTATGATCCCATATTGCTTTACTTTCCACTTTATTCCATAGTGTATCAGTCAGGGTTCTCCAGAGAAACAGAATCAGTAGTGTATGTGTATGTGGAGAGAGAGAAATTTATTTTAAGGAATGGCTCATGTGATTATGAGAGCTAGCAAGTTCAAAATATGTAGATAGACTAACAGGCTGGAAGCTCAGGCAGGACTTCTATGTTAGTCATGAGGCAGAAATCCTTCCTTGGGAAACCTCAGTTTTTGCTTACTACCTTCAACTGATTGGATGAGGCCCACCTATGTTATGGAAGATAATCTCCTTAAAGTCAACTGACGGTAAATGTTAATCACATCTACAGAATACCTTCACAGCAACATCTAGACTAGTGTTTGATCAAACAATTGGGCACCACAGCCTAAACAAGCTGGCACATAAAATTAACCATGCCATATAGAAAAGGCTCCAGGTTTCTCATTCAAATTATGCAGATATGAACTTTCACAAATGTTATGGCATGCCTACTGTATCAGGCACTGTGCAGGACACCGCGGATACAGCAGTGAACAAGAAAGACATGGCCTGGGCCTTCTTGGAGTTTATATATTCCAACTCAGTGTGTCCCAAATGGAAGTCATGAGCATCTCTCTTCTGCTCCTCTGCTGATGTTCGCTTTCTAAGTGAATGACGCTCTGCAGTTGTACAAGTCCAAAACACCGAGGAGGTGTCCTTCACAACTTATTCTCCCTTACCCCCATAGACAGTCCATCACCGAGTCTTGAAAAGCTGACCTTCTAAATGTGTCTCAGATCCATCTATACATTTTCACTGCCACCACCCTGTCCCAAGCTACCATTCTCTCTCACCCAGACAACTGGAGTAACTCCACACTGGTCCGTCTCTACCTTCAATCTGATATATTCCTACCCTGTCACTTGTGTGATCTTTTTGAAACCCAAATCTAATCATATCACCCTTGGCCTTGCTTAAAAACTTTAAGTGGCTCCCCGCCCCCTGCCTCAGGTTAAAGAAACCTGCATGGCTTGTTCTCTGCTTCCTCCCATTTGCTCCTTCCACTCCAGCCACACAGATTGCTTCTAGTTCTTCATCTGTACCTTGTACCTCCCTACCCAGGGCATTTGCACATGCTGTTGCTTCTGCCTGAAACCCTCTTCTCCTCTACCCCATCTATTTAACTCTTCCTCCTTCAGATCTGGGGGCAATCCTCACTTCCTCAGAGAATCTGCAGACGACCTCTCTGTCTATACCTTTTGGTCGTGGGTACCCCTCCTTTGTAGGATTAATCACTGGTCTATGTGAGATTACTGGACCAATATCAGCCTCCTCTACTAGACCAGAAGTTCTACAGAGGCAGAAATTGTGTCTTCTTTTTGCTTCCCTCACATCCTTAGCACATGCAGTAGTACTTGGAGTATAATAGGGACTCAGTAAATATTTGTCAAGTGAGTGAATAAATAACAAACAAAGAAGTTAAAAGCAGTAAAATAGAAGTTGTGGTGGGGGAGCTGTCAGCTAGGGTTGTACCAGCAACATTAGGGCTGGGTGGTGTTGGGGAAAGAGAAACTCGGGATTTTTAGTCAGAAGGCCCAGCTGCACGGCTTTGGAAGGCAGAGGTTCATGAAGCTCTGGGTGAGGTGGACTTGGGTTCAGTCCCAACACTGCCACTGACTTTTTGTGTGACCTTCAGTGAAGTGACTTCACTCCTCTGAGCTTCAGTTTCCTCATCTGTAAAATGGAGATAATATTAGTACTGGTTGTTGCAACAATTAAGTTAAAGCATGTAAAACACTTGACACAGTGTCTGGCCCGTGGTAAGTTCCCAATAAATGGTGGGGGTTATTTCTAGCTCTATAGTTAACATCTCGTTTTGAGCAGGTCACTGACCTTCATTTAGAGTAATTCCTAAATTTCCTTTTACCTGCTAAGGCCCAGGTAATGTGAACGTTCAAGCGCATGAGCTAGATAGTTTTGGGGTCAGGACTTCAGAGCCTCCAGACTCCTAATCCAGTGTTCTTTTGTCAACACCACGTTGCTACCTGAGAAGCGAGTTTGCAACCACTGGACCAGAAGTCAGTTGACTTGGGGTCTGCTCTTAGCTCCTCCACTCACCAACCATGTGACCATATATGTTCTCCCAGTACCTGTCATTGCTTACCATGGGGATATAATGTATTTGAAAGTGCTTTGAAAGCAGGCACCATATAAATGATTGATACTGTTTGTATCTGAAAAAGGCACTTATCATACAATTTTCCAATGAGGAGACAATAAAAATGTGAGGTAGCTGTCCTTTACTTCATCTGGCATCTTCTCACTTAAGGTACAATATGATCGAAATGTTTCATTTTCCTGAGAGGCTGTATAATTTGCTAGTAGTTGCCTGACACACTCTAATGCCCTGCTGATAGGCAAGTCCCGCTTGTTAATTTTCTCCTAGCTGAAATCTGGAAGACTCAGAGTGCCTTGTGGAGATAATCTAAGGCACTTCTTTGTCTTTTTTTTTTTTTTTTTTTTAATGCTTCTATAGCCATTTTATGAGCTTTGGTGATTGCCCCTCAGACCTTTCGTGGATAGAAAAACAGTGTAACTAAGATCAGCCAGAGCTGCACTAAACAGGAGCTGCCATCGTGGAACTGTAGAGACAGGTTATGAGGCCTTACCCTTGAATCCAAACTCCCTGCTCTGTTGTGTTCACAACAACAATATGACAAAGCGTTGTCTTCATATTATGAGTCTATTTAAGTAGAAAAATTAAGATAATGTTTTTCTTTTTCAGCTAAACAGAAAGAATTGACTGACAATGTGAGCAGAGCTTTTGAAAGAGGTACTTCCTTCATTTCTTGACTTTCTTAAATATGGAAAGAAATTGTAAGCACTGAGGTATAACCATCCATTCAATAAGTAGCTATTATATGCCCATCCTATGACAGGTACATGGGAGCTATAAAATATAGATGAGTCTACATATCTGCCTTCAAGGATTCACAGTCTTGCTAGAGAAACAAGGGGTGTGCCCAAACCAGTGATAACGCCCATTGAAGATTAGATGAGAGAAAGTGCTCCCATTCCCCTTTAGCAAGTAGGAGAAGATAAGGTGAGGGATGTGGGCTGAAGCCAACACAGGCAGGCTCTGAGGGCAAGGCTGCACAGTCAACATTTGGCAAAGCCCGCACACCCCTTTCTTCTGCAAAGCCCAGGAGGAGAATCCCATGGCCGAGCAGTGCCCAGATTGCAAATAGGGCGTGTTCATCCTTGTCCCCACTGCTCCTGGCTCTCAGGCTAAAGAGACTAGATCTATTTCTAGCTATTTTTAAGCAAGAACAGCCTTCCTCTCCATCCTGACTTGTGCCACTCCTTATAAGAGCTTAATAGCCCTTTGGCTTAGGGATCGTTTGACTACAGAAAGGAGAACGCAACTCATACTAGCCCAGATAAAAGGAGGTTACTCTAAGGAATCAGGTCTATCTCTCAGAATCCAAAGTCCCTGAGATGAGTATAGTATTGTGTGATAAGAGCTTTTCTAGAACAAGACCTGGGAACCAGAAAGCAGTCTGGAACCAAGACTGTGGTCCTGAACTTGGTGGCCTAGCTGACCACTCCGTCCTTCTCCCCACCGCTATACACCAGTTCCGTCTGCTTCCTTATTGGTGCTCCAAACTGGCCTCCCCCACTGGATGACTCCTCAGTCCCCCTTGGTCTATTACCTCATAAGAACAAGGCCTTTTACCATCTGACTAGAGTCTTCTAGATCCAATCTAGATTCCTGGGAGGGGGGATTTGATTGCCCCAGTTTGAGTCAGATGTCCACTCCAGTCCGATCACTGAGGGCCAAGGAGATAAGCTTGCACAGTGTACTGCCTACTTTGTAGGGACTGTAGGAGTTTATTCTGAGAAGCAGGCAGAAGGTGGCGGGGAGGGAGGGGTGTCTCTAAAAAGATGGGTAGGAATATAGATTAATAGCAGAAAAGACAGGAAGCTGGCCCAACGTATCTGCCTGAAATCCATGTCCCCAGCCTACTGGTTAAGATGGTCAGATTATGTTCCACCAAGTTCCTGTTATACCTTTGTGGGCTTTTATTTTTTTAATTATAAAATACAATTTCTTAAAGAATGAATAGTACATAAGTACAATGGAAGAATAACAACAGAAGAAACACCCATGTCCCCACCACCCAGATTAAGAAATAGAAAAAAGGTGCTCAACATCACTAATCATTAGGGAAATGAAAATCAAAACCACAGTGAGATACCACCTCACACCTATAAAGATGGATGCTATTAAAAAAAAAAGAGAAAATAGCAAATGTGGGCAAGGATGTGGAGAAGTTGGGACCTTGGTGCACTGCTGGTGGGAATGTAAAATAGTGCACCCACTGTGGAAAACAGTATGGCAGTTCCTCAAAAAATTAAAAATAGAATTACGGTGCAATCCAGCAATTCCACTTCTGGGTGCACACCTAAAGAATTGACAGCAGGAACTCAGAGAGATGCACTGTCACAGATAAACAAAGCCAGATACTAGTTAACGTGGTAAGGACAGATTTGAATCAGTAATAACTATGGTGATAGGGAAAAGAGTCCAGCGTGAACTGAACTCAATTTCGATTTGTACAGAGATAACTGGGCATTTTAAAGGGAGAATGAGGGAGTAGGGCAGGGGTGCACAGGGGCTCAGTAGAATTGGGGAAGTGAAATATTACAAAAAGCGGGAAGAAGGAGTTGGTCCTATGAAACCCATCTGGGTTTGTTAATTGGCCCTTATGGAAGTTAGGCTCCCACCCTCCCACAGAGCCTGGAGACAGGGGCCCTATCATCAGGTGTTGACTGGAACAAACAGCAAGAAAGAGACAGAAGAGACCTTCTTTCCTCTGAGCGACATAAGTCCATTTCTCACTCAGTCTTTTGTTTATGAAGGACTAGCTGAGCCATCTGTTGAGGCCTGATAGTAGAGGATATTTGGGGGATGACATGAGCAAATGTGCATTTAATGAGGAGCATCTCTATGGAAACGAAAAGGAAAACAAAGGTCAATGTCTGGAGCCGACTATAACCCCAGTTTCTGAGTCCAGAGGGCAGCCACCTGAGAAGACACTGACCGCTTAAGCATCTTTAGGTGGTGGCATGAGGACAGCAGAGGCAGTCTGACGCATCTCCTGGCTTATAGTTTGAATGTTTGTGGTGATGGCAGAGACATCAGCATCCCAGTCATGGTTATTCCCCAGAGCACAGTATGGAAGGTGTGCGCTTTCTGAGTGGCCCGTGTACCAGCAGCTCCAGGCACAAAGGTTGCCCGTGATTCGTTGTGATGAGTTCTTTGAAGTTTCTATCAAGTCCTCCAGCGTCAGCTTGCAGGACTTTACCAGATCCTGGAGGAAAGGGGCAGCTATAAGACAACCTGAGTCCCACTGAGGATCTGGGCAGTCAGGTTTTAGTTCTTAGTGACAGTAAGTCAGGAGGGAGGGAGGAACATTGGAAACATTGGTTTGGAAAGTTGTAGCCAGATGTTGAAAGAAACTAGAAGAATTGAGGATTTGCTGAGGGCCGACAAAATGTGTAAGGATCCAGTTCAGTTTACAAGTAGAAAATAAAACCTCAAAGACAATGAACAGGACAGGATTCTGATCACTCGCAAGGTTGTGTTATTCTTTTCCACTGAAACATAAAATTTCTCTCCACAATCACCCCCTCTTTTTAATCAAAGATAAAGTAACATTGTTCTTGTTTACAAAATAAATTTAGTTTCATGAAATTTGGCCTGATTATTTATTAAGTGCAGCAAGAATGGTAACTGACCATAAAGGCCTTTTTAAGTTTTCCTAATGGAACTTTTTACAGGCATAACTGGTTTTATTGCACTTTGCAGATACTGCATTTTTTACGAATTGAAGGTTTGTAGCACTCCTGTGGTGTCAGATGATGGTTAGCATTTTTCTGCAGTAAAATATTTTTAATTAAGGTATGTACATTGTTTCTTTAGACCTAATGCTATTGTGCACTTAATAGACTCTAGTACAGTATCAATACTTACATGCACTGGGAAACCAAAAAATTTGTGTGACTTGCTTTATTTCAACATTCACTTTGTTGCAGTGGTCTGGAACCCAGCCCCCAGTATCTCTGAGGTCTGCCTGTATCTCAGATTAGAATCTGCCTGAAATCTCAGATTAGACTTGAAAAACCTCTCTGCTAGGAAGTCAAGCCAAGATTTCTCCATCAGAATTCTTCACCTGCATTACCTATAGTTTAAGGTGAATTCCTGTCTTCCCAACGTCCCCCAAATATTCTAAGATTCATGGGCCTGCCGAGTGCCCTTAATCACCTGTAAGGCTGGGAACCCTGTAAACCAGATACCAGGCCAGTTTTTGCAATAGGGCTTTGAAAGCATTATCTCTATAAAATCAACCTTATTTCCTTAAAATTGATGACTTTATGCATCATTTTCAAATATGACATTCCCGTCAAAGCCTTATTTTTAATTATGTCCTATCACAAAGAGGACAGATTCTTACTGAAGCTATGCAAATAACTATATTGCCGTGAAAACAAGAATACTCAACAATAGTTTCTAACTTTTTGAGGGATCAGGCAGGGAGAAGAAGATGTTTTAATTTTGTTTACAAAAGTGTATAATTTACTAGATTGTTAATGAGTCATAGATAGCTTAAGAGAAAAGGAAAGGGGATTTCCTCATATTAGAAAATAGAACATTTAAAAGCCAGCAATAGTTCGAATAAAAAATTACAATCAACTTATCAGTTTACTCGATCCTATGTAGTTAATTTTGTTCTGCTTGATCTTGGGTTAGCAGTTTCATGAACCCATCAGCTTTTTCATTAGCATTTTGGAAATTCTGACTTGGTCGACTGATTTGAACTCAGTAATGTAAGCAATGCCATCAGAAGCCTGTACCACAGAGTACCTGGTACAGTACCTGTTTATTGATCACAAGTACTCTGGCTTATAGCTGGTTGTAAGAGCTTTTAGGAAAGCATCAGAGTAAGGTAACAACCATCCATGGATAGCAAAAGACTTAAAATGGCCATAGTTAAAGATCTGATGAGAGGTTATTATAAAAATAACACAACTGAAAAGGAAATCTAGTTGTTTCTGTGACATATCACATTTTAAAATAATAACTGGGCGATAACATCTTTTTTTTTTTTAAACAGAAGAAATTTATTTTCTTACAGTTCTAGAGACTGGAAGTCTGGGGTCAAGGTGCCAGCGTGGTTGGGCTCTGGTGAGAGCTCTCTTCTTGGCTTGCAGATGGTTGCTTTCTTGTTGTGTCCTCACATAGCACAGAAAGAGAAAGAGGAAGAGGAGTAAGAGAGAAAAAGAGAGGGGGGGGGGGAGAGAGAGAGAGAGGAAAAAGCCCACAGTTTTTTGTTTTGTTTTGTTTTTTGCGGTACACGGGCCTCTCACTGTTGTGGCCTCTCCTGTTGCGGAGCACAGGCTCCGGATGTGCAGGCTCGGCGGCCATGGCTCACAGGCCCAGCCGCTCTGCGGCATGTGGGATCTTCCCGGACCGGGACACGAACCCATGTCCCCTGCATCAGCAGGCGGACTCTCAACCACTGTGCCACCAGGGAAGCCCTGGGCGATAACATCTTACCAGGATATATCATGGATAATGAGGGCATTGACAAATTCTAAGAACTTTGTACAATTTCTGAAATAATAACATTTAACCCATATAAAAATAACCTAGGGAAGGTTAAGTATCTTTTCTTTGACACTGCTTCCATTGTAATTTAATATATCAAATAAACCTACTCAGTTTAACATCTCTCTTTATACAAGGTGAGAGAACAAATCCTTTGAGGTTTTCCAGGGGACCTCTCAGAAACTTCAAAGTCAGTTCAAAATCAAGAAGACTTTATTGGGCTTCCCTGGTGGTGCAGTGGTTGAGAGTCCGCCTGCCGATGCAGGGGACACGGGTTTGTGCCCCGGTCCAGGAAGATCCCACACACCGCAGAGCAGCTAGGCCCGTGAGCCATGGCCGCTGAGCCTGCACGTTCGGAGCCTGTGCTCCGCAACGGGAGAGGCCACAGCAGTGAGAGGCCCGCGTACCACAAAAAAAAAAAAAAGTATGCTTGCGTTATATTTAATGTTAACAACTCTGAAGACATATCCATTTTATTAAACCAAGAACATCCTCTAGTTTTATTTACCAAAGATTTACCCAAATTACATGGAATTGAAAACATTTGAGTTGGGTCTTATATTTCTGGAAGTTTTAGGAAGATTTAATTTATGTAAGTACTCATTTCTCTCTAAGCAAATTAGGATAGAGTTCCTTCAGAGGATTTTATAAATTAATTTCATAATACCATCTGAAGGTAGGGAAATATATGTTTATGTATATGTTTATGTATATATGTATATGTTTATGTTTATGTATATGTTAAATATATGTTTATGTATATGTTTATGTATATATGTATATGTTTATAGATATATAAATATACAGACAGATGCAAATAGATCTTACAGGTTTCATTAAAAAATTCTGTCATGAATCAGGCACAAATAAGATAATATAAAACTCACTTTATGTGAGGTGATGGATGTTAACTAAACTTTTTGTGGTAATCATTTTGCAATATGTACATATATCAAATCATGTTATACACCTAAAACTAATATGACTTTATGTCAGTTATATCTCAGTAAAACTGGGAAATTAAAGAAAAAAATTTAAACTCTCTAGTTTATATGGGTAGTTCTCATTTTTGCTCTATTTTATATATTTATCTGAATTGAGTTTCTGGCAGATGGAGCAAGTTTTAAAAGTTGCCTGCTCAACGTGAGTTGTAGAGGTTTTTTAAAGGTTTTTTTGGTTTGGTTGTTTGTTTTTTTGTTTTGGGGTGGGTTTTTTTTGCCCTGATATATAATCTTAGTGGAGTCTGTGGACTAAATATCTGTTTCCAGTTAGCTTTTTTTTTTCTTTTCAGCTTCAGGTGGTTGCTTTTGGAGGTACCTGAGTCCCTTGCAAGCCCCTGATGGGGACAGGAGGCCCAAAAGTCCAGTGCTTGTAGGAAGTTGGGGGGCGGGAGTGGGAAGGGAAAGGTCTGGTAGGATGGACAGAGGGACTGAGGAGGTAGGGGCTTGAGGGGGGCTTATCAAAGGATGCGAGAGAAGGGAATATGGAAGGTGGTAAGAGGAGGGAGGAGGAGGCGAGAGGTCTTAAAGGAGCCAGTGTGGGGAATCTTAAGTCTCTCAAAGAAGCCAGAGAAATTCCAATTTTTCCTATGTACAGGTAGACCACAGAGGTACTGCAGGTTTGGTTCCAGACCACCACAAGAAAGTAAATATTGCAATAAAACAAGTCACATGAATTTTTTTTTCCCTGCATGTCAAAGTTTGTTTACACTAATTGTAGTCTATTAAGTGTGCAGTAGCATTATGTCTAATAAAACCAATTAATTAAAAAATACTTTATTGCTAAAAATTGCTAACCATGCTCTGAGCCTTCAGTGAGTCATAATCTTTTAAACATAGCAACATCAAAGATCACTGATGACAGATCACCAGAACAAATATAATAATAATGAAAGTTTGAAAAATTGGGAGAATTACCAAAGTCTGACACAGGGACACGAAGTGAGCAAATGCTGTTGGGGAAATGTTATACATAGACTTGCTCAACGCAGGGTTGCCACAAACCTTCAATTTGTAAAAAACGCAGTATCTGCAAAGCGTGATAAAACAAGATCTGCCTATAAAGTCACAGCAGCAAGAAAAGAGGTAGATCAAGCACCATGGTGACACGCAGTCAGTAGAAGTTCAAGAAGGAGGAGGACTGACAAGTTCCCATGGGAGGAGCAGGGTCAAATAGAACATAGAGGCCTCTCAAGGAGCCAGGAAAAAGAAAATGTCCAGCCCGGGAGTCAATTCCCACTCGAAACGAGGAGCTGGGGCTTCCCTGGTGGCGCAGTGGTTGAGAGTCTGCCTGCCGTTGCAGGGGACACGGGTTCGTGCCCCGGTCCGGGAAGATCCCACATGCCGCAGAGCGGCTGGGCCCGTGAGCCATGGCCGCTGAGCCTGCGCCTCCGGTGCCTGTGCTCCGCAACAGGAGAGGCCACGATAGTGAGAGGCCCACATACAGCAAAAAAACAAACAAAAAAAAAACGACCACTGCCTTCAAGCCCCTGGTAGGCCCTTTGTAATTGCATTCCCCTTCCCTGGTAGCAACTATTCTCCTGAATTTTTGTACTAACCATTCCCTTGCTTTTCTTGGTAGTTTTAACCATATATGAATATAACGGTGTATTATGTTATTACACATAAATCTAAGGGTTTCTCAACCTTGGTACTACCAACATTTCGGGCCAGATAATTCTTTGTCATGGGGGGCTGTCCTGTACACTGTAGGCTGTTTGGCAGCACCTCTGGCCTCTGCCCACTAGATGTCAGTGCCACCTCCCCAGGGTGACAACCAAAAACGTCTCCAGACATTGCCAAACATCCCCAGAGGCGAGAAATCACCTGCAGTCAAGAACCACGGGTCTAAGGGCATCTTTCCAGAACCTGCCAGCCTCCTGGGAGCAGCTCTGTATCGCAGCACCTGGCACAGAGGAAGCACCAGGTGCTTCCACATCCTCGTCAGGGTTACACCACCGTGTATGACAGGGGAAAACTCTTAAAACACAACTTAGTTATTGGGTATTATCCTGAAGAAGAAGAGCAGCTTCTCATTTAAAGTCTGAATCCTGTGAAGAAGCATGCTTTTGCTCCCTTTGGTTAAGCCCTTTATCCCCTGAACAATCCAGATGTTTTCTCTTTCTCAAATCTACTGAGTAATTGATCAGCCTTCCAGAGCCCAGGGCTCAGCTTTGATCCAGCTGCCTTGGATAATAGAGTGATTTTATTCTTGCTTGAAATGAAGCCTCGCATTAATGTCTCTCTTTATTTCAGATGATTTTGAAAAAGCCAAGGAACTTTTAACAAAGATGAGATACTTTTCAAACGTTGAAGAAAAGATTAAGTTAAAGAAGATTCCCCTCTAATTGTTGCTAATTTTAAAGTTTTAAAAATAAAGTTCTTATCTATTTCTTTTCTGGACTCTGCTGATTCAGAGTAGAGGTGTTTCAACCGCTTTGACCATCTTTCTTTTCTTTCTTTCTTTTTTTATGGCTATGTTGGGTCTTTGTTGCTGTGCACGGGCTTTTCTCTAGTTGCAGTGAGCAGGGTCTACTCTTCGTTGGCGGTGCGCGGGCTTCTCATTGTCATGGCTTCTCTTGTTGCTGAGCACGGGCTCTAGGCACGCTGGCTCAGTAGTTGTGGCTTACGGGCTCTAGAGCTCAGGCTCAGTAGTTGTGGCACACAGGCTTAGTTGCTCCGTGGCATGCGATATCTTCCCAGGCCAGGGCTTGAACCCGTGTCCCTTGCGTTGGCAGGCAGATTGTTAACCACTGCGCCACCAGGGAAGCCCGCTTTGACCATATTAGTTAAACCTGTGGCTCAAGCATTAGTGGACTGCAAAGCTTGTCATGTCAGCAGAAGCACAGCCCAGCCAGGGTTTGAGTGATCGGTTCTTCATGGGGTACTTGATATACCATGTTCCTCATCTAGGCCTGTGGATGAGGAGGTGGAAATAAGGCCAACTCGAGGCCCTCAAGGGGAGGGGAGTTTTTCTGCAAAGGGCCAGTAGTAAATATTTTAGGCTTTGTGGGCCATACCGCCTCTGTTGCAAATAAACTCTGCCCTTGTAGCACGTTATTTACTAAACAGGCAGTAGGCTAGATTTGACATGGGTTTGCCACCCTCTGCTGTTGAACCACATCTTCCTTCCAATGGCATGACGTTCACAAATAAAAGTCTTGTTAGTGTGTCCTTCAAGGAATTCTGTTTGGCAACCGTGCAAAGCTGCCTGAGGGTCTCTTTGGTCTACACTTAAATACATAAATGCATTTTATCTACATGAAATATAGATAATATTATCAAGAATTAGTCTGGGAACTTCCCTGGTGGTCCAGTGGTTAAGAATCCACCCGCCAATGCAGGGGACACGGGTTCGATCCCTGGTCGGGGAACTAAGATCCCACAAGCCACGGGGCAACTAAGTCTATGCCGCAACGAAAGATCCCGCGTGCCTGTAACTAAGACCCAATACAGCCAAAAATAAAAGTTAGTTTTAAAAAGTTAGTAACTGTTTTAAAAAAAAAATGAATCAGTCTGGTATTAAACACTAACCACATGTTCAGCTCCACCTTGGTGCAGTGGAGCATTTTTAATTTATTCCTGAACAGCTGCTCTCCTGTCACTGGAAGCAGCTTCCCTTCCCTTTTTGGATCTTTGGAAATTCAGTTGGAAGTTCTTGATTCAATTCCAGAAGAAAAAAAAAAATTTTTTTTTAAGTCTTCTGGATCAAGGAAGATTAAAATAGAAAATTCCTATTAAAAATTCTGAGAAACAGCATTCAAATTCTTAGAGAGAATTGCTTGTTTATAAGTGAAAAAATTCAGGGTTCTGAACCAAGCTTTAAATACTACTCCTAGAGCTTTGCATCTTCCCTTGTCATTGTCTAAGAATTTATATCTTGTGCATCCTGATCCAGTTATACTCAGTTAACATTTCAGGATTTATGGATCTTCTGAAGGCAGATGAACCACAGCAGCTGTCTGGCTTAATGGTACTGGGGAATATCAGTACAATCTCCAGCCCCCTCACAGTTTACAAGAAGAGCGAGTTACTTGTCTGAACACACACAGGGAGTCCTTTAAGTAAATAATTACAAAGCAAGCAAATGTCCTGATTAGTTTGGGTGCTTCTGAAAAGAAGGAGAAAATGAAAGTAGTGTTTGAAATATGCCTGTAGACATTCTTCCATCCTTCAGAACAAAGATCAAAACCGAAACAATCTGACCACAAAAAGAAATCAGATAAACAAATTTGCTTCAAACAACATCTTTGGAGGAACTTCAAAGAAACTTTCCCTTACCTGTTGCCATCAGCTGGAAAGGCCACTGGACCTCCCAGCAAACCATTTCTTTTATTTTTATTTTTCTTTTTGGCCGCACAGCGCGGCATGTGGGATCTTAGTTGCTAGACCAGGGATCGAACCCATGCCCCCTGCATTGGAAGCATGGAGTCTTAACCACTGGACCGCCAAGGAAGTCCTGAGCAAACATTTCTGATTGGGGGAATAAATTTAAAAGACTTTATTTCTGAGACATGGCTTCTGAGTCAGTGGAATTACTTATTTTTCCCCTCTCTTCCAAATTCTTTCCCTTTTAGTCTAAACTCCAAGGTTAGCTGGACTTCTAAATCCAGGAGCCCTTTCAAGTGTTCCCTGACAAAGCCCTACGGGAGGGATGCTTCTAGACCTCTGAAAGGTTAGCAGCCCTATTTGGGTTAAAGTTTCTGACTGAGTTAAGGAAATTAAGCACCTACCTCCTAACCCCACATCGTTCTTAATATGGCATCAGAACAAGTCGGAAGTTTTGACTAATTTGTGACTGCTCCAGTGTCAAATAGGCCTGGTGTAGGGACTGAATGTGTCCCCCTCAAAATTCATATGTTGAATCCCTAACCTCCAGTGTGGCTGTATTTGGAGATGATGCCTCTAGGGAAGTAATTAAGGATAAATGAGGTTGTAAACGTGAAGCCCTGGTATTATAGATTAGTGTCCTTATAAGAAAAGACACCCTTGCTCAGTCTTCCCACACTCATGCACCAGGGAAAGGCCCTTTGAGAAAGCCAGGGAGACACCTACCATCTACAAACCAGGAAGAGACTCCTCAACGGATAGTGAAACTGACCCTGACAGCACTTTGATCTTGGACTTCCAGCCTCCAGACTGTGAGAAAATTAATTTATGTTGTTTAAGCCACCCAATCTGTGGTACTTTGTTACGGCAGCCTGAGCAGACTACTATACCTGGGGTTTTTTGTTTATTTGTTTGTTTATTTTATTTATTTTATTTTTGACTGCGTTGGGTCTTCATTGCTGCACACGGGCTTTTCTCTGGTTGCAGTGAGCGGGGGCTATTCTTCATTGCAGTGCGCGGGCTTCTCATTGTGATGGCTTCTCTTGTTGCAGCTTCTCTTGTTGCGGAGCACGGGCTCTAGGTGTGTGGGCTTCAGTAGTTGTGGCATGCAGGCTCCATAGTTGTGGCACACGGGCTTAGTTGCTCCGCGGCATGTGGGATATTCATGGACCAGGGCTCAAACCTGGGTCCCCTGCGTTGGCAGGCGGATTCTTAACCACTGTGCCACCAGGGAAGCCCCTACACCTGGTTTTGAATTACAGCTCTGCCACTAATCTGCTATAAGTCCATGATTGTGCTAAGCTTCATTTCCTCATCTTTAAAATGGTGATAATAGTAACACGCTCACAGGGTCATTGTGAAGATTAAATGGAATAAATTATGCAAATTGTTTAGCCCAGTGCATGGCACATAAGCACTCAAATGTGATTTTTTAAATGGTAATGACTACTTTTGTTTTTATTTTGGCAACAAAGTCATGCCTTTTACTGCAGAGTAAATATTCCCCTTTCAACAAAGTTTCAAGCACCTACTTTGTGTAAGAGAATGCTCTAACCTGAGAGAGTAACACAGAACAGTGAGATGCTTCCTGTCTATTTGGGGAGAAGACTTTTACACCAATAACCAAAACAATGTTAAAAGTTCCCATTTGCTGTGCACTAACTGTGTGCCAGGCACTATGGGCAGTACTTTGCATGATTCCATCAAAGTAAACCCAATTCCACCAAAGTAAACCCAATTCTTCATTTTACAGATGAAGAAGCAAGCTCCCAGAAGGTAAGAGAGTCAAGAGCAGGGATTCAAACCCAGGCCTTGTCTGCAAAGCCTCTGCTCTTAGGGAGGCTGAACCGGCCAAGATTAAGTACCAGCCAAGGGGACTAAACAATCTTTACAAGAGGGGCCATTTACCAGGGCCTGCTCCATGCCAAGCCAAAGCAGGATTTGATCCAAGTCTCTGTTTCCAAAGTTAGCACATACAGCTTCACTGGGCACAGGGAAAGATCACTCCCAGGTGTGGTAACCAGGGAAGAAGTCTTCAGGGAAGAGGGGAAGTGGCATCCAGACAAGCAGAGAGAGCCTGTCAGGTGTCCCCAAGACCACCCCCAGTTTCAACGACTCAAGGGGAGAGCCCACAGGACTGGGTACATAGTCCTACTCATGGCTATGATTTATTACAACAAAAGGACACAAAGTTAAATCAACAAAGAGAAAAGGCACATGGGGTGAAGTCTGATGGAAACCAGGCACAAGCTTCCAAGGCTCCTTTCCCTAGTGGAATCACAGAGAACACACTTAATTCCCCGGCAACAAGTTGTGACAACACGTGTGAAAATGCTGTCTGCAAGGGAAGCTTGTTAGAAACTCAGTACCCAGAGTTTTTCTTTGGTGCTGGTCACATAAGCACTCTTTGTCTAGCATGTGCCAAAATTCCAGACTCCAAGAAAGAAAACAGGTATTCAGCATAAATTACATTGTTTGTACAAACAATTTAGGCAGAGTGAGCCACTCTTATCAGTTCTGGAAATAGGGAAACCCTCCCCAAATCCAAGTTCTCAGACACCAGCCAAGGGCCAACCTTGTATGCAGGACTTTATAAGGATGTGCAATTTTGGGGGTGCTGGGTTAACTCTTTTCTGTACAGAAGTCAAGGGGCCGTCCTGTCACAGTTGAGGGAATTCTATAACAAGGAATCTATAATCAGAGAGGAAAGCACCTCCGTTGCAAAAGGGCTTTTTCCTGTCTCCGTGGCCTCCACCAGGCAAAGAGAAAGATGCTGCTGAGTGGACAAAGCAGTCATGCCACATAGTGTGTTCAGCAGCAAGTGACAAATAGCTGCAGCAGACTCAGACCTAAAGCTTTGCTTTGACAAAGAATTCCTTTGGTCCTGTCACTTTTGATAACATGTTGGATATATCAGATGTGGCCAGATGAAAAAATAAAGAGAAGACACCATCTTTTCCTTTCTAGGTATCACTGTTGGGAGGCAAGAGAGACTCAGCAGAGTTCAGAGGGGTGAGGGCTCCAGGGAGGAAACACACACGGGTGATGGTGGCGGAAGTGGCTGCTATCAGAGA